CCACACGCTGGTGTCATCTAGTAAAAACCAAGCCTCGCAGAAAACAGGAAGAGACCGTGCAGAGGTTTAACCGGATATCCTGCACAGGGAGGGCGACCCCTCGACCACAGCTCTCCCTTTCCCTCATGTCTTTCTCTCTCTTTTCCTCCGTCTCCCTCTGTCCTTCTGTTTCTATGCTACTGGATGTCGGTGTCATCGCCGGAGAGAGGAGAATGTGTTGGTCTGGTGAATGGGATCATTGGGAATTTCTGGATATCCAGGTGACGCTCTGCGATTGGCCGGATCGTTGGGTTTTGAATTCAATTTTTAGAGATGAGAAGGATTTTTTGGGATGGATGTAAGGGACAATACTGAAATGGCAAAGTTTATTTCCACCGTTGCACCGTTGGAATTACGAGTTAAAAATAGAGTCGAATTTGTGAAGTTGTGGAAAAATGTGTTGGCTGGGACTTCAATGTCATTATTGTTAATTGTTTAGTGGGTGTGACTGAACTTGTGTAACCTGTAAAGCATTTGTTTGAGGTTTTATAGTGTGGTTTTAGTGTGTAGCTAAGACTTCAGTGTGCATTTCAGCAGATTTCAGTCGAGCGAGTTCTTGATTTAAGATCCATCCTGTTCTAGTTGCATCTGATATATTTACTTTTAAATGATCTCCAATCATATCTTTGACTATTCTGTTTTTTTTTTACAGAGAGCAAATTACCCTAAACGTTGTGTATAATCAGTTTTGTTGCTTATGAAAAGCTCTTTAGTCTTAAAAAATATTATCGATTTGGTAAGATTAAATCTGCAATGCATTAAAAGAAAGTTGCAGAACATATTGATTTTAAATGCTCTAAGTTTTCATTTGTTAACCCAACAGAAGCTGTTTGAAATACAAATATTTGAAGTCATTTGTTTCTGGCGAGCAGGAGTGTCCTTGGAAGCAGTGAATAGTATCCTAACATGGAAGTCATGACTAGCAGGATGGAAAACAATAGGGAAAGTGACCCCGAAAGTCTGAAATCCAGTGTTGATGTGCGATTAGTTGGTTTAAGAGCTGAGGTAATGTTAAAGAGATAGTTTCAGTAAAACTGGAAATTCTGTCAGCATTTACTCACCCTTCACTTGTCTCAAACCTGATTTTCATTCCTATTTTGAACACAAAATATGAACGTTTGCTTTTTCTACTATGGATGTCAATAATTAGCGGTTTTCAGCTTTCTTCAAAATTATTTTTGTTTGTGTTCAACAAAAAATGGATACTAATAAAGGTTTGGAACCACTTTAGAGTGAGTAGACTTTATGGTGAACTATGCCTTTAAACCGAGTTTTAGGACTTTGCTTGCTGATTGGCAGGCTTCTACGCCAATTCTATCTACAGTAGATGCAAAGGCATACAGTATATGAGACTACTCAGGAATAAAAGTTGCTTAAAAGGACAATAAAGGAAGTTGGCTGATTGGTGGAAATCTAGCTTTTGTGATATTTATTGAATCATATTGCATTGCACTGTGTGAGGCTTATGTCAAGATCTTGGTGTCATGTTGTGTTATTTTTGGGATTGTTTGACTCAAGAACACCTATCCCAGCAGTCACAGGATGTCATGATCTGATGACATGATTTCAGATTGATATTGTAGCCCAAAATTGTAGGGATGTTGGATTTTGTTTAGCAATGTAAATCGGGTTGACGTCACAACCCAATGTCAGGTTAATGCTAATGTCCAACCTAAAATCAAATGATGTTACGGCTCGATGTTATGGGGACGTTACCACTATTACGTCTATCAGATGTTTCATTTTGGTTGCCATACCTAATGAATAGTGTCAGTATTTGATGTCAATATGATGTTGGTTTAGGATGTCGGCTCTTAGTACTGATTCTAATGCTTCAAGCTTAATAATGCATTAAGCACATTTTCCCTCTAAATGTGAACTTTAAGAGAAGAACATGCCTTACCTAAGAGAATAAATGAAGGATGCTGCATATAACTCTTTAAACACGTCTCTCATAACCATTTAAGTGTGAACGTGTCATGGCCATAAGCTGCCTTACAGAAAATAAGTCATCCATTTATTTATTTGACTGCAGCTTGATCCCTTTTTTAGCAGGGGTCACCACAGCGGAATGAACCGCCACAGAAAATAATAAAACACAAATATAAACATTGGCAAGTAAAATTACAAACAAAAGAAAATAAATGAAAGAATGAAATTACAAACAATGCAATTTGGAAACATCGCAAAGGATGAAAGAAGAGTTGAACATGTCTCAATCAAGAACAAGTTTGGAGCGTATGTTTGATGCATAAGAATTAAAATGCACACATATAAATCTAATACTTCTTTACTAAAAGGAAAAGGGCCTATAGGCCTACACTGTTTATTGTCAAAAACACAGAACTTTCAGTTGTTCAATGTAAAAAGGCCTAAATAGATGCAAGACCATTCAAATATTTCGCTCATCTCCAACTATTGACAGCAGAGCACTCAATAAAAGAAAGATAAAGATTTGCACTTGCCATATTTTTGCTGCTCTATTCACTTAACCTAAGGAATGTAATGTTTAGACCATCACTGTGCCTCTTGCGATCTGTTCTCTTGCTCATTCACTCGCCTCACCATGTTTTCCGAAATTTTAACCCGTTTTTGGGAATCACGGAGCTGGTATAAATTTGTTGGAGACTCGTGAAGCTTCCGGGAGAGGTCATAAGATAGGACGATACTCTAGATAGCGACTCTGCTTACGTCACAGCAGCTCAAAACACTAGAAATACAATGGCTGCACTTGCAACAAATAGCATCACTCACGCGAGTCGCGCCAATAAACATGCCTAATATACAGGAGTGCACGTGCTTCTTCGGTGTGCGCACACTCTCATTCCCATACAGCAGAGAGTGTCCGTGTGAACTCCACTGTGCGCGGTTCAGAAAGCAGAAATTTGTAATCTCGCAAACATGTAGAGCAGGCATGCCCAAACTCGGTCTTGGAGGTCTGGTGTCCTGCAAAGTTTAGTTCCAACCCCAATCAGACACACCTGGGCTACCTAATCAAGCTCCTAACTAGGCTTTCTAGAAACATCTTTGCAGGTGTGTTGTGGCAAGTTGGAGCTAAAATCTGCAGGAGACCGGCCCTCCAGGACCAAGTTTGGACACCCCTGATGTAGAGACATAAATGACATGCTGTTGTGTAAATAAAATATTACATATTTAACTATTTAGCTTGTTTATGAAAAGACGTTGTGATTTGGCGCTATATAGAAAATAACATTAACTTGACTTTAAGGGGGGCGAGTAAAACTGTTGAGAGGGCGGGGCGCCCCCCTAATATAATGGTAGGGGAAACACTGTAGAAATTTGTTTCAGAACCTGGCACATTAACCCTCTTAACTCGGTTTTTTTGGGCATATGTGAACCTGTAATTGTGCTCTGAACCACACCTAAGGCGATCTCGGCTATGTCGAGACAAACTCGGTTCAGTTGTAATGAGAAAGCAATACGATCCAATAAACTAATCAACCAGGCTATATCACAGTGTATTATGGATAGGTAGGCATACAAATGGCTATAAAAAGAGAGAATATGAGTAGAGATATCATTCCTACCAATAAAAGTGTGTTTTATGTCGAATATGAAAGTGAAAGCATGCTGTATATATAATATCATAATATATTTTACAACCCTTGACAACTGAAATGAGGCTATGTATGAGAAAGTCTTACCTCTGATTTTCATTTGGTGATGACTATGTCGATTACTATTCAAAATTAAAGCACACCTTTTCACTTATGATGTCTTATTGCTCATCGTCAATTAAAATAACAACTTATGACAGCTGAGCGGAATGCTGGAAAATAAACCAAACTCTGACCAATGTGAGGAGTGTGTTTCGTAGGGGTGTCAATTTTAAACAATAATTAATTGTTTCTTCGGTGCTCCGCGATGCAGACGCGGACAATTCGGTATCGGTTCAGTAATAATCATAACCGGTTATTACTGACGTCATTTACCTCATATGAGCTCTGCGAGGGAGTCGATCGCAAGTATTTACAACGCTCTAACTACTTAAAACTTATAAACTGTGCAGAATTTCACTGTGTGTGTTTGCTGGATCAGTCTTTCACTGACATTAACAGAAAAAAAACATATTTCACTGAGATCGAGAGAATGAAAGTACTCCATTTTTCTCTCTCTCTCTCTCTTTCACACACACACGCACACACACACGCACACACACACACACACACACACACACACACACACACACACACACACACACACACACACACACAGTTTCCCATTTGACCTGCTGGCGTGACTTTTCTTCTCCTCTCGGCTGTTTTACAGCGTTAATTCTGGATACAGTAACGAGCGCGTGTTTGCAGAGTTTTTTTCCACCGTGTTTATCATGCATTATCTGTGATCGCCGCTGCCGCCTGCCGCTTATCAGTGCCACTCATCTGTGAAGAGCGCAGCACGCAAGAGCCAATCGCAACCGTTTTTGTTGAGGGTGTGACCAATCAAAGAGGTGTAAGAGAACTAGACAAAGATCAGAAAGTGAGCTGGATATTTATATTTGTTTATATTTTTTGCTAAATGCTCGTGTTGTTTAAAGGTACAGTTTATATTTCTGAATATTTGTATTCAATGACAAAATTATATTACAAATAGTATATAAATATAAATATATTCATACATTTTAATACAAGAACTGCTGCTGTGAAGAAAGTATAAAACTGTATATGAAAAGCACTTTGATGCACCGAAATATCGAATTGAATCGAATCGATGGCATGATAATCGTAACCGAACCGAACCGTGAGACTAATGTAGGTTCACAGCACAAAACAATCAATCTACAGGCGTGAAAGCACTTTCAGACAGAAGATGATCCAAATGTGATCTCGATGGGGAATGCATTGAGTGAATGACTATGACATCTAAATCTATTTGATATCAGTAATACTCTGATATCAAGCTGTAACTGGTTGTTTATAGTTCTATCTTTCTGTTTTCAGAGTGATCCCGGTGGGTTGTCTGGATTAGAGCGGCTTGGCTTGGACCACAGCTCTGATTACTCTGACTCGAGCGTACAACAGCGACTGGATAAAGAGCGCGAGCGAATCCGTCGGGAAATCCGCAAGGAGCTGAAGATTAAAGAGGGGGCAGAGAATCTCCGCAGAGCCACTACAGATAAACGAAATGCTCAGCAGGTGGACAGCCAGTTGCGCTGCTCAAATCGGCGTCTGGACTCACTCCATGCTGAATTACAAGAACTGGACGCTCATATTGTGGTCAAAGGGACCGATGATACACACGGTAAGTGGAGATTCAGACTTATTTATGCGAATGATAGCGGTGTATGGATGTCATTAATGAGGAATTGTGGATGTGACGATTGCGGGAAAACTTGAAACATAAATTCACAGAGATTGTATATGTTAACTGTATATTGTTTTTATTCTCCAAAACAACTAGAGATCAGAAGAAAATATCAATTTGTAAATGTATTTTATATTTTGAATTAGGAAAATAAACATGCGTTATGGAATTGACCAAAAAAAGTAGCAGAGAGCGGGGACAAAAGTAGCAATTTTCATAAAAACCTAATTTTGAACGATGATGTTTTAAGCAGAAATATTTTTGCTGTGGTTACTAACTCTCAAGAGTGCTCTATGAAAATCAGGTGTTATTTTGTATCAATGTAAAACAGCTCTAATATAACTTCACTTGTTGCACAGTGTTACTTTTGACCCTGTAGGCAGGGACAAAAGTAACACACGGATGGGTTGAAAGTAACACAATGATATTTGCTAGATTTACTGGCTTAAAGTCTTGTTTATTTTAAATATATCTGACTATGACCTTGTTAATATTAGCTGCAAACTAGGAATGTCCCGATCAGGTTTTTTTGTCCTTAAATCCGAGTCATTTAATTTTGAGTGTCTACCAATACCGAAACCTGATCCGTATTTCTATAGAACACTTCTGTGAGGTAGCTTGAACAATCAAGGAATAAATAACATAATTTTTTTCTCTTGGACTTTAGTGCAACAGTAAATATAAAAAAAAAAATCTAAAATAAAAACAAATAGCACCTCAACTTAAAATACCTGGCAGACAATCCCAAGTTTACAAATCTCGCAGTTTGCTATGGCAATGTTGTCATCATGAACTTTATTATACCTCCACCACAGACATACTTGCGGTTTCTGCTTCAAGCTGCTTCTGTGTTCTACCTTGCCGGCATTTAACCAATAGCGTCTCTGCAACAAAGTGATGTCATGCCTAGGCATGAGCCGGTATAATATTCTGACGGTATAATATTCTTATGATAACCTTGGACCTAAATATCACAGTTTCACGGTTTCGCAATATTGTGATTACTGCTCTAAAATATATTGTTTTTAAATGGGTAAAAAAACAAGTATATGACAGTATATTTTGTTTTAAGAAACATTTAAAATGTTTTGAAACAGTAAACATGTCAGGCTAAATTAATTATTGACTTCTGCTGTCTTCGTTTGTTTCAAAAACACAGATTTAAAAAAAAAAATTTAACTGCATTGTTGGATTTATTTTTTGCTGGAGATACTGTTGTCCTAAAAAATGACATAAAATAAATGTAAATAAAAAATCGTACACATACCTTAGGAACGGCATTGCAGAAAATTCTGACGGTTTGAAAACCTTGACTTTTCTAAACCTTGGCATGCCTTGAAAACGGTTATCGTCCCATGCCAAGTCATGCCACACGCACTGCTGTTTCTGTGTGAAGTCGAGAAAGAGGTCTAACTCTGTGCCACCACATAACTATAGATATGTTAAAAATAATGAGATCATATGAATGTTAAACGACAACAAAGACACTTTTTCCTAATAAATGTGAAAATATTAAATTAAATCAAATCAGTCTTGTTTGTTCTATAGAGAGCCAACTCTTATCCTTTTGATTATCATCATTTCTTTTGGGCTGTGCAGTTTGATTCACAGAATTTCTCAAAAGTATTGTATACTGTAAACCCGCAGACTTTTTTTTGTCACATCCATAACGCATGTTTATTTTCCTCATTTTAAGTACAAAACATGTGTACAGATTCATATTTTTGTGATCCCATAACTCTGTGGTCAGTTGTTCTGGAAAATATAAACAAAAGTTTCAATAAAACGTTAACATTCACTTTCTATACAGATTTATGTTTTGAGTTTTTACTGCAAATGTCACATCCATAACACTGGAATTGCTCATTTATATATATATATATATATATATATATATATATATATATATATATATATTTGCGTCCTGATCTGGAGGTAACGTCCGATTCCGATCATCTGAAACCGTGTGATCGAAGCGGATTTCCGATCATCGGATCTGGACTTCCCTACTGCAAACATATTTTGTCCTTTATTTTTGGCAGAATAATAAACAGCATTTTTAAATTTCAGCTCCATCAAATGTTCAAATGCAATCCAACAATGCAAAATGTATTTTTTTTATTATTATTGGCAATATGCATTCACTTTTTAAAACATTTGAATCCAAACTCTGCAAACTTTTATATGGAAGTGAAAAATAAGGTTTGACTATTAGCATTATTCATTTTTAGGTGAACTATCCCTTTAACTTGCCAATTTGGTTATTTAAATATATGTATATTTTATTTAACAAATCTTTTTAATTCATGTCTGATTTGGGATAGTTCACCCAAAAAAGAAAATGCTGTCATACCTTATTTCTCGTTTACAGCTGATTGAGTTAATTTTTTCTGTTGGACACAAAAGAAGATATTTTGAAGAATGACGAAAACCACTGGCTTGATCAATGAATGAATGTCTCGGTAAATCAAAACATGGTTTAAAATTATTGATTAAACAAAATGAACATTTATTTAAGTTACCAGATGGGAAAGTTAAAGGAACAGTTTTCAACATTCTTCAAAATATCTTCTTTTGTGTTCAGTAGAAAAATAGAAACTCAAACAACTGTAAACGATAAATAAATTATGACAGAACTATGGGTGAACTTTCTCTTTATCTTGCCAATTTGGCTATTTAAATATGTTTATTTATTTAATCAATCATTTTAATTCATGTTTTGATGTACTGAGACATTTGCACATTCATTATTTCACTGCTCATAAATACTTAAATCCAACAAAAAACATATGTTTAAAGACATTAATTATAGATGCCTAAAATAAATTATAGATGGCTATCAATAATTCACGTTTGTAAGCAAAAACTGATTTTACAAGTTGCCGAATCCCTCAGCTGACTGTAAGTTTGCGCTTGTTATGTGCAGATGACGCTCCTCAGTCTCCGGGAGCGGAGAGCAGGTCATCGGCACACAAGGAGAGAATTGCTGCTTTGGAAAGGCAGTTAAACATCGAGCTCAAAGTCAAACAGGGGGCAGAAAACATGATCCCCATTTATACCAACGGTTCCACCAAGGTATGAGCACACAAACACAGCCTCTATTATAATATGGAGTGATCTACACTGTCATTCAAAGGTTTGGGGTTGTTTTGTTTTGTTTTTGAATGAATTGTGTTGTTCTTACTTAAAGGGAACCCATTATGCCCCTTTTTAATAGAGGTAAAATATGTGTAACACTTGAGTTGGGTACAACAGAGTTGAGGGTGTAAAAACAGTTTATTTACAGCTTAGTCAGACAGGCATTGGTCAACGGGAACAAATGGTATCATATGGGAACTGCAAAAGCGTAGTCAGGGTCACAGGCAGTAGTCGGTGCAGGCAGCAAACAGGATAAACAAAAAACAAAACAAAGGTCAGGAAACACGGCAAGGCTAGACTAGACTACGCTTTGTAATGTTGCAGACAAACAAGACTCAGCACTGTGTATGAGAAAGGGATGTTAACGCTTAATCATTGATTAAATGTCAATAAGTTTTTAATCGAAAGACCTTATTGATGACCGATTAAGCATGGACATTGAAAGGATAAGTTATGCTTTGCAATGTGAAACACACATCCATGACTGCACACATTACATAATCAAGTTGTCAAGTTTGCGGGATAGAAACAGGAACAAAAACGAGAGTAGAATCCAAGTGCAGATTTAATGTTATATTGTACAGTGACAGAGAACAAAAATAAAAGTGACAAAGTAACAAACAAAACAAACGAGGAACTCAAACAGATTAAACTCGAACTAGACTTTAACAACTAAGACAAGATACAAGAGCAAGATCGGGAACAACATACCAACAAGGACGAACGACGAACTGACAAACAGAGGATGAATGACTGAATATATAGTCCAGGTAATCAACGGTAAACAGAGACAGCTGTGGTTGCAAACCAGTATATGAAAGCCGGGGTGTGTGCGCGAAAGAATGTATGGATATGTAGTTTTTAAGCCACTGTAGTTCGCTGAGAGTTGCTGGCGAACTACAGTGGCATCTGGTGGACAAACACAGTCATGACACAAGTGTGTGCAGTTTACGTGACCTTGTGGAGTCACTCTCTTGACATTGCATATTGGGCGACGCAGAAAACCCAAATGCGTGGATCTTGGTTATATCCGCAGATGCTACCGTTGATCGCAGGTCAACTAATCAAAAAATAGGTTGCATGATAATTAAGTATGGATGAATCGCGCATGGACGAAGTCAATCATTGGTTATGCAAACTTTAACTACTATCTCTAAAATATTAAATCTTGACAAAATGGCACAAATATGCTTTCATTTTAAAAATCGCTCATCACAGCCAGACATGCGACTGTGAACATCTGTTTCCACAATGAGTTTCTGAGTTTTCTCATCCTCAATCACTCTCAATCTGGGAACATGTTCAGTGCTGTGAATTTTGTTAAGCCTGTCCTCCCTCCTTGTGGTCAAATTACTTGATTTAATGGAGGATTTTGTCATTAACAATGTAAACAGTATAATATAGGCTACTCTAAAACTGTGAATATTTCACTTTCATTTCAAATTTTATATAACAAGTTTGTGTTTTGGCGCTAAACCATATATTGGACCTTGTTTTGAAGCACTTCATGTCAAATGTTATTCTTTCTTCTTATTTATTTTGTAGATAACTGACTAACTGACCGACAAAAATACACAAAAATTAAGATATAAATTGTATTAAACAAAATTCGTTCCAACAAAAAAATTTCCAGCACAAATAGCCTTTATGGAGTATATTATTTTTTTTCTGCCCATCCACTGTACAACTGTACGCTGATGATTTGTTTCATAAGTCTGACCTTAAACTTTTGGTGCACTCACAGTATGAATGCAGCCTTTAAGAATCAGGCAACTTTATTATGCTGCTTCTTAAGAAATCCCGTTTTAGCCCAAATCAAAGGCGTCATTGTGTATATTCTTCAAGGAGAAGGCAATCCCAGAATGGACTTTGATGAACTTATTAGACAAAATAAGATGCAGGAGACATCATTCAGATCTCATATTATTTTTAAATGTCATTCTTTACTGAAGGAGGAAATAAACGTTGATTCGTTTTAAATTTGCAATATTTTTAACTAAATATACTTCATTTTAAAGAATATTGTACTGTTAGCTTGCTAGTGTGTATGCAGCAAGGCAGTTCACTAGATTTAGATACAAAGTCAGTCTATCAAAGATGTTTACTCACTGTATTCTAACAGCTGTGTGTGTGTGTGTGTGTGTGTGTGTGTGTGTGTGTGTGTGTGTGTGTGTGTGTGTGTGTGTGTGTGTGTGTGTGTGTGTGTGTGTGTGTGTGTTGTCAGGACAAGAAGATGTTGCAAACAGCTCAGCAGATGCTACAGGACAGCAAGACAAAGATTGACATCATCCGCATGCAGATCCGGAAAGCAGTGCAGGCCTACGAACACAACGATGATACACAGGGTATGGTTAAGTGTGTGTGTGTATGTGTGTGTTTGTGTGTTACTTCGCTTTTGTTCTAATGTCAGATTTTTTACAGATGAGTAGAGAAGTAAACAGATCAATAACCCACCCAAATCCCTATAGATGTGTGTGCGTGTGTGTTTGTAGGGGTGTGTACTGGGTGTGTTCGATCGAGACTAACGAGTTTATGCAGTCTAGAGAACAGCATGTTCATAGATACTGTACACACAAAAGTAGAGAGCGCAGGTCATACAGATCAATAAATGTGTGTGATATGAGCCCGCTTGGCTTAGAGTGGATCAAACACACAGGGTGAGGTGACTGATGATAGTCAGTTCATGCTGTTGTGAGGGCCAATGGGATTGCCCTCATGGGCCACTGGTGAGCACTCCCTGTATCATCCTCCCAGACTACACATCCCATCACGTCCTGCATTCACACGCCGGTTTTAGTTTACCTTCTAATTATACACAGCTGCACTTCATCATCACGGTTTAAATGGACTACAAATACTCCACACAGTTACTCACCCATAACTGAGTCTTATTTAGCTGTTCAATTCAAATGGTTTATTGTTTATTGTATTGCATTGTTTAGCTTTTTTTTTCGATTCTTGCCGCCTGTCTTGACAATTCACCTGTTTTAAAAATTCTGCTTGTGGATGACCTCTCTTGTTGTGTATGCTCTTGTATTATACTACTTGTTACCTACAAGACTTTCCTAAGGAAATTTTGGATCCAACTAGTCTTCATGACCCCTTCACAAAACCCATTTCGTTTCTTTACTTCACACATGCACACGCATTCTCACATGCACAGACACATATACAAGTTGGTTTTTGCTTCATAGTTGTATTTTATTCCTTGTCCCCAAACCTAACAGAAAAAAAATGTCAAAAGACCCCATTAAAAAGCATTTTAGTATTTTGAATTACAAGACACAGGGCATGTTCTCATAAACCATGTCAACATTGTAATACCAAGTTCATACCCATGTCATTATATACATTATACACCATGTCCTCGTAAACCACCCAAACCAGCACACATACACACACATGCTTGTTTTTGTGACAATAAATAGGATCATATAGTTTTTATACTTCACAAACTGTATTTTGTATTTATAACTGTATTTTTTTGTCCCCCCCTCCCAGGAAACTATGTACAGTTTAACTTTCTGAAAAAAAAAACTAATTCTGTAGGATTTATAAGCTTTTTGAGAACGCAAAGTCCTCATATTTCTCCATATTTCACCTTATAGTGTCATACCCATGTCTTTATACAGATATTGTGTCCTGATATGTCACAAAAACACGGACACACACAAAAACACACGTAGACAATTAAAGGTTTACAGTGAGTACTCTAAAAATGCAGAACAAAATAAAATAAATTATAGACCGCATTCAAATGAAGAAACAATTGCTTCATTTTAATTGGTTTGTTTTTATTCAATTATCACATTAACTTTTAAATCGCTGTAATCATGAATGTTTCAGTTAGTTCAAGAACAGTTGTAACATTATTTTACTCAATTATTCATACAGACTAACGTTTAAAGGATGGGTTCAGTAATTTCTTAATTAAAAAAAGGAGCTAAACATTTATATTAAGCAAGGATGCATTAAATTGATGGAAATCACAGCACAATATGTAAATTTTGCGTTATTGCTGTTTTTTATACTTGATTTATGACAATATTGTGTCTTCCATTAAAAAAAATGTTAAATGTTTAAATATAATAAGAAGAAATATTTCTTGAAGTGTAAATCAGTATAATACAGTGATTTCTAAAGCGCTGTTGAAAACTCACCACAGGATTAAATGACATCTTCAGATATATTATTTAGAAAACAATTCTTTTACAATATAATATTTCACAATATTACTGTTTTTTTTTTTTTGAATGCAGCCTTCGTGAGCATAAGAAAACTCGTATGGACTTCAAACGTATTGATCTTGTTTTAAAGATGTTTTAAAATAACTTTTATTTTGATTTAATTTATTTTGTACAATACAGTTAATAGTTTAACAAGAAAAAAATATTCAGATATATCTTTACATACATACACATATCAATATGTACATAGATAATTACCTATACTGTATATATACACACATAAACTTGCATGTAGAAAGAGTAAATAAAAATAAAAATGAAAAAAGCCAAATGCAAAAGTTTGCTGTATCTCTGCCAATTACCATTTACTTGAATGTGGATGTCTTTATACTCCCTATATATATCAACCATTTTCCCCAAACCTTCTTGAAAATATCAATTTTCATCCTCAACATAAATGTCAGTTTTCCAATACATTCATTTCTTCCATTATCTCAAACCACTGCTTACGTTTCAACATTAAATTTTTAAGCTAGTTCCTTGTTGTAGTCTTTTTGCATGCCACAAGAAAAATCTTACACAAATATGTTTATGTACATTTTTACTTTAAACCAAGACTAAATGCATTACAGTATTTAAATAAACAACACACATCTAAACTGTACATACTTTTAAAGCCATTAAAGCTTATGAATTCAAATTCAGACACAGACCAGAGACCATATCAAATAAAGCAAACAGTAACAGGCTCACAGTTAGCTGCACACATTCTTTAATACTCCTGTATAAACACACACATACACCTTCAATGTGTACATGTACACACACACACACTCTCCCCAAGAAGGTATGCCACTGAATTGAGCTTCATGCCTTATTAGGACAGAAAAAAACTCCACAGTCAAATCATCCATCATTCTTCTTATGTCCTTTTCTCTGTCTTATTATCCCTCTCAGTAATAATCCTCTCAGTCGGTCGTCTATTTGGCCTTCAAGTCTTTGAAGCATCTCAAAATATAGGATGATTTTTCTGGGACAGGCCTGGAGATCAAAATTAGAGATCAACCTACAATTCCCAAAATTTTGAGGTCACTGCTCAACTTATTCCAAAACCAGCAAACGAGCATTTTATGAAGCATATTTTATGGCTGCATTTACACTGCAGATTTTGGTGGTAAATTCCGATTTTGTGACTGTATCTGATTTTTTTGCTGAGCTGCTTACATCATCTTTTAAAAGTGACTCGTATCCGACCATCTGCATTCACACAGCACACGGCAAAGGCGCAATAAGCAGGAAAAAAAGAGCGGGCGCTGACTAACAGCTGATAATTAAAGAGTGCTCTTTTCTCCCTATTCCTGTATGTAATCTGTTCGCAGCTTTTGACAAGCTGTTTTATTATAGTTTTGATACAAAGGTTCTGTGTGGAGTTTGCATGTTCTGCCTGCATTCGCGTGAATTTCCTCCCGGGTTTTCCCCACATTCCAAAGACTTGTGGTACAGGTGAATTTGGTAGTCTAAATTGTCCAACCCAAGCTCTTTCTGAAAACGTAGTCCCGCGGACGTTTCTGGAGACAGCGGAATACGTCCCGGGGGGTACGAACGGCCGCGTTTATTTTTTTCAAGCGAACGCTGCGGGGCATTGTGACGCTGTTCCCTTTCGCGCTTGCCTTACCTCCTTGTGGAGGGCTTTCCCGCTGCAACCCGTTTGTCCACTCAGCTCACCGTGTACTGCAATCAGGTAAGACGAAAACAGAATCCCAAAAATTAAGTGAACGAGTTTCGTGACAGGGTGAGAACGCGGTGAAATCCAAAACGCGGTAGAAAAAAAAATCGGGGCTTTTTTTTTTTGGACGGCTTTTGTAAACTGTTGCTTGGGTCCAGGGAAGGAGGAGGGCGGGTCGGTCGATTGGCCGGTCGCGCAGTCAATCATGCGGTCAGTTGGACAGCGGCCTCCGGTGGGTTCACGCGAGAACAGCGCGGGCGCGAACCACACTCACGAGAGGCGTCTGAGGTGCGAAAAAGCGCACAACAGCGGCCTCTCGCGGATTCGCAAAAACTGCAGCCGTACGTACCCGCCGGGACGTATTCCGTAGTCTCCAGAAACGTCCGCGGGACTACGTTACCACAATGAGCCCGGGTTGAAATTGTCCGTAGTGTATGAGTGTGTGTGTGAATGTGTGTGTGGATGTTTCCCAGAGATGGGTTGCAGCTGGAATGGCATCCGCTGCATAAAAATGTGCTGGATAAATTGGCAGTTCATTCCGCTGTGGCGACCCCGGATTAATAAAGGGACTAAGCCGACAAGAAAATGAATGAATGAATAAATAAATGAATGAACAAGGCCTGAATCTGATTTGAGAAAATTGGAACCCATGTGATTTGTTCCTGCTTACACTTACATGGGCCAAATCCTATCTGTACCACATGGGAAAAATAAATCGGAATTTAGTCACTTTAACAGTGCAGTGTAAATGCAGCCTATGAGTTATATTACTTAGGGCTCTATTTTGACAGTCCATGCGCAGAGCGCAAAACGCAGGGCGCAAACACTTTCAGGCCGTGTCAGAATGCATTTTTTGCTAATTTAAGGACAGGAAAATCCGCTTTGCGCCATGGCCTATGGTCTAAAAGGGTTGAGTTTATTTTCTAAATGAGTTATAGGTGTGTTTTGAGAATAAACCAATCAGAGTCTCATCTCCCATTCCCCTTAAGAGCCAGCTGCGTCACGCCATAAGCGCATTTGGGCGCACATATGAGCGCAAATGCATTTGCTATTTAAACAACGTGGCGCAAAACAGCAAAACGACACTTGCGTCAAGCTAATACTAGCAAATAACATTTGCACCACGCCTTGCGCCGCATTGTGCCGGGTGTATGATAGGGCCCTTAAACTTTAATTAGATATTTGAAAATATAAAAAAAACACTGATCACAATTTTAGCATGATACTGGATGTCACGATCACCAGCGATGTGACCCTCATAGATAAATTATCATGCAATAAACAGTCTGTAGTCTCAATTGTGTAAAAGAATTAAAAGAGAAAGTTTTTAAACACTCCATTTTTTATTTTTGAATCATTGACCTGCTTGTATTTCAGTCAGGACCAACCTGACCAAGATAAAATGTCATAATAAAACCCAGAACAGCTTGTGGATGTTTCTGATGTCATGACAGCATAACATAACACCACAGCATCTTAATCTTTCAATTTATAATCTGTAATAATCCTCTTATTTCTGAAAGTCTGTAGCTGGCAGCGTGGCAGACCTCAGTTTGCATAAGTGTAGTAATTACTATATGGAGGCTCTCTGTTCTGATCCAACATCATCCCTCATCCTCTTTAACGTCTGCTCGATGCACACGACATCATGTACCTTTTATGCGTCTTAGACTTAATGTCTTTGTTGGCATCACATTCAGTTCATTTTCATTTTCGGATAAAAGATAGTTGACATTCGATGATACACAATGACAGGAGCGCCCTGCCGTGGGACATGCTGGTCTTTTAGGAATGAGCATAAATGAATGATTTCATTTCAGTTAGAAAACGTTGACATAGAGTTAAGTATAAATATTTTATTTTCAGTATAGTTCCTTAAATGTTAAAAACACAATAGAGGGAATTGGCCAGTGATCTAAAATTTCACATTTCATTATTTTGCCATTTTGGACTTCATATTCAGTTGAAGTCAACATTAGCAGCTCTCCTGTGAATTTCTTTTTAAAATATTTGCCAAATTTTTCTTTAAAGGGCCATAAAACCTTCCTCTTTCGATTCAAGTCTACCTGAGAATTTAAAAAAAAAAAATTCTGAGATGGGCATGGAGCGCTGTGAGCAGTGGGAGGAGTGGCATGGCCGGCAGAGCAGGGGAAAAAGAGGGGAGCGAACAACTATTGTCAGTTGGCTCACAAAATCCGACACAAACCGTGAGGAGAGCCATGATTTTAAACGTTTTTAAGTTAAAATGAAAAGAAATAAACAATCATTTAATGTCCTGCTACATTTGTTATTCATGATTTCATGTACGCATAACCACAATTTGTTATACCATCATAACTTTAATTATGTTTATATAAACACTATAAATGAGGAGGACATCTCCTCCTCAATCCCCTAGTCTGAATGCAGGCACAGTGGATAGCAGTGCAGCAGGTCTCTTGCCCTATCTATTCCAACCATTAGCCCTGCCAGTAATCTGGAGGATTTTAAACATGTGCGAACACAGCAACATGGATATTGGCGATGTGTCTGAATGGTAACAAACTCAATTGATAAAAGACAAAGTCCGCCATTCTCCATTTTGCGTACAGCTCTCCCGACAAAAAGTACTTGCTGCAAACTAACAGCTTTGCTGTATCGGCCTTGACAGCATTACGGGGAAAAACATGCAACAAACAAGATCATGGATAAAAGCACATACGACCTGTGCTGTGCTTTGACCCGGTCTCACCCAGTCATTAGGTCTCACAGCTTGGCAGGTCTGCCTTGCTTTCGCAAAGCAAGTGCTCTCATGAATAATTAAGAAGCAGGCTCTTCTCATAGGATAAGAAAACTCTGCTATCAATTTTATTGAAAAACCAACATCAAGCATCACTCCACTAGTAGATTCGCGCTACGTCACAGATTTTGATCTCGCCCCAATAATTATTTTAAACCCGGAAGATGAAATTAGCTGACAAAAGCTCAAAATTACCCAGTTTTTCCACACAACTAAAGCTGACAGATGCAAACTTGGTCTTAACTGATCCTCAACACACTAATCTTAAAATAAAACAAAGTACTCCAGGATTTCTTGAAGTTTCTTGAAAGTAAATTTTCACAATATGTCTGATAATATTGTTTCTTCTGGAGAAAGTCTTATTTGTTTTATTTCAGCCAGAATAAAAGCAATTTTAAGGTCAAAATTATTAGCCCTCTTAAGCTATATTTATTTTGGATTGGCAACAGAGCGAATCAAACTTGCCTAATTAGCCTAATTAACCTAGTTACGCCTTTAAATGGCACTTTAAGATGAATACTAGTTTCTTGAAAAACATCCAGTAAAATATTATGTACTGTCATCATGACAAAGATAAAATTAATCAGTTATTAGAGATGAATTATTAAAACTATAATGTTTAGAAATGCATTGAAAAAAATCTTTTAAACAGAAATTGGGGGGAAAATAAACAGGGGGGCTAATAATTCAGGAGGGCGAATAATTCTGACTTTATTTGTATGTTATGAATAAATTGCATTATAAAATTGTAATTTAATATTGTAATATCATAGCAAAGACAGTACTGAAGGAAGAAATATGGTGTAACTGAATGTTGAGCACAAAGTTTTAATTTAAACAAATGAAAGCAAACTTCAAATTCATTAAACACTCATCAACAATACATATATTGCTCTCTGATTGAAAATATGTTGTGCAGTTCAACAAACAATTTGTATTGCTATGAAATATTATTCCCCCGCTGTTTAATTACGTGGTTGAAATGGCTCTGACCCCTTCAGGCTGATGGCTTGTGTAATTCGCTGTGGGAGTGTGAGTGATATTGATAGCCTAATGTGTGTGTTGTGTGTGTGTCTTTTCAGGAAAGCCTGATCCATGTGGTATGGAGCTACGCATTGAAGAGCTCAGACACCATTACCGAGTAGAGCACGCCGTCGCTGAGGGAGCCAAAAACGTCCTTAGACTTCTTGGAGCCAGTAAAGTACAAGACAAGAAGGCCATGTCAGAGGTTAATTATCATATTATTACAATATGTAAAGATTCATTCATTCATTTTCTTGTCGGCTTAGTCCCTTTATTAATCCGGGGTCGCCACAGCGGAATGAACCGCCAACTTATCCAGCATGTTTTTACGCAGCGGATGCCCTTCCAGCCACAACCCATCTCTGGGAAACATACACACAAACACATACACACACACACTCATACACTACAGACAATTTAGCCTACCCAATTCACCTGTACCGCATGTCTTTGGACTGTGGGGGAAACCGGAGCACCCGGAGGAAATCCACGCGAACGCAGGGAGAACATGCAAACTTTACACGTCAACTGAGCTGAGGTTCGAACCAGCGACCTTCTTTCTGTGAGGTGACAGCACTACCTACTGTGCCACTGCTTTTTGTGTAGTTGCGGTCCTGCTGTGTAAAACATATATCCAGTATATGTTTTACACAGCAGATGCCTTTCCAGCTGCAACCCATCACTAGGAAACACCCATACACTCTCATTCACAGTCACACACATACACTGCAGACAATTTAGCTTACTAAATTTGTCTGTACTGCATGTCTTTTGACTGTGGGGGAAACCGGAGCACCTGAGGAAACCCCCGCCAACACGGGGAGAACATGCAAACTCCACACAGAAATGCCAACTGACCCAGCTGAGGCTTGAACCACCGACCTTCTTGCTGTGAGGCGATTGTGCTACACAACGCACTACCGTGACACCTAAATTTAAATTAAAATAATTTATTTTAGTTTAATTTATTTTTAATTTGTATTATTTTTTCATTTAATTTAATTTTACTTAAAATTATTTAATTTAAAATTATTTTATTTTATTTTGCCAAACTTTGACAATTAAGACATTTACCTTCACTTACTGGCATTTAATTTAATTTAATTTTACTCAAAATTATTTTAGTTTAAATTATTTCATTTTATTTTATTTAAAGTTATTTAATTTAAAATTATATATAAAAATATTTTATTTGCCCAACTTTGACAATTAGGACATTTGCCTTCACCTACTGGTATTCTATTTTATTATTTCATTTTATTTTTATTTTTTTTACTTAAAATTATTTAAATGAAAATTATTTTAGTTTATTTGGCCAACTTTAACATTTATGACATTTAACTCCACCTACTGGCAGTTTTGTTTTTGCTTTATATTAAAAAAAAAAGAAATTTAACAATATATATATATATATATATATATATATATATATATATATATATATATATATATATATATATATATATATATATATATATATATATATATATATATATATAAAATAAAATTATATAATATATATATTGTTACATTTTTTCCCAAAAATTATATACTTACCCTCATGATTTGGCAAACCTATTTGACCTTCTTTTACAAAACATTAAAGAGATATTTAAGAATGTTGGAACCCAAACTGTTTTGGGTACTGTTTACTGTCATTGCATGAACATAAATTACTAGGTCAATTTTTAAGATATTAATTATAATCCTTTCTTTTTTTTAAATTCAAGTTTTTTATTGTTTTCTTCTGGTTCATGACAAAATAATACAAACACATATTACAAGTGATCACTTGTGGCCTACTAAATGTAAAGCCAGAATGAATACAGTGGTTACTAGGACAAAAGTACAATATTATCAGGAGAACCTGGTGAGCAGTTTTAAATTGTGTTACAAGACATTATCACATAAGACCAAAAGTCTTCCCACACTGGGATACATACAGGGACCCCTGCTTTGTCCTTTTTATGTAATTTGTAAAGTAAACATTCATACGAGGCTGTTATAGTCATTATATTGACCCACTTGTAATCCTTTCTAAACTTTATGTTAAACTGTCTTAGTAATTATGCATAGTAAATGTTGAGTCAAATTTCTAGTATTAGTTTTGCCCTGTAGTATAGATCGTTTTGACTCTCTTTATATTTTCTTTCTCTCCTTTTCTTCTTCAGGCTCAGTGTCGTCTGAGTGAATCGTCGCAAAGGTTGGACCTGCTGCGAGATTCTTTAGATCGACGGTTAGCAGAGCTTCCTGAGGATCATCCCAAAGCTTCTGTTATCAAAGAGGAGCTGGTTTTAGCATCCTCACCAGCCTTCAGCTCTCAACACAGCGCCCCCTACCTGCACAACCAGTACAGCACTCTCTCCAAACCCTCACCCCTCACTGGTACGAAAAACCACATCATTTACACACATAAATTCATGCTTATTTCATTTAGTTCAGTTAAAGTCCTGTGGAGTGTTAATATCTTGACATGTAGTGATCCTGAATATTTTCTGAGATTGTATTATACATCTGAGGCTGCAAACTTCATGCACATTTCAGCTTTTCCAAGAATAGATGAGGTAGAGGTAAAGAGTAACAAAAGTGTCACAGTTAGAACTGCCAGAAGACTTTAATGCGATAGATTCATCTGTATATATGTTTCATTGTATGTATTTGTCTTATTGGTTGTAGTTTGACTGTTTGTTTAATACTGAATGTTCACTTGTCGTCTATAAAGTTCTAACTTTATATAAATAAGACTAATTGTTTATTCTCTAATACTAAAATTGGAATTAACGATTGTGACATTTATTAGATTGCTACATAGTGTCATTAATTTGAATGTTATGTGGTTCATAACGCAAAAAATACATATTTGTATTTTAATTCATTCATTTATTTATTAATTTTTGGGCAAAAGTGAAAATCTGAATCAGTGTTGCCAGGACTGAGTTTGGTTCTGGGCAAGTGGGCTCTTTTTTTGAAACTACATTCATTCATTCATTCATTTTCTTGTCAGCTTAGTCCCTTTATTAATCCGGGGTCGCCACAGCGGAATGAACTGTCAACTTATCCAGCATATTTTTATGCAGCCTTCCTGCCACAACCCATCTCTGGGAAACATCCACACACACACTCATACACTACGGACAATTTAGCCTACCCAATTCACCTGTACCGCATGTCTTTGGACTGTGGGGGAAACCGGAGCACCCAGAGGAAACCCACGTGAATGCAGGGAGAACATGCAAACTCCACACAGAAACGCCAACTGAGCCGATAGTCGAACCAGCCACCTTCTTGCTGTGAGGCGACAGAAATACCTACTGCGCCACTGCTTCACCCCTTTTGAAAATACAGTAGTTGGAAAAGTATAAAGTTGTGGGTTGCGTTTTTTGCGTTACTTTTGTAACATGCCATGGCTGCCAACATTTTTTGTTCTCACGAATACAAAATGAAACATTTCTTAATGGACATTAATCCAGAAGTGCATACCTGGCAGCCCTTTGACTGCTGTATAGCCTCATTCACACTAGGAGCAACTCGCAGTGGCAAAGTGACTTGTGAGAGTTCATATTAACAGAGTTAGCAACTTCCGTCGACTTCCGTCTATGCGAGTGACAGCGACCGTTGGCGACTAGGTGTGCGTGTCGAGCAACGTGACAAAGTTGAGAATCCTTCAACTTTATGCAAATGAAGAGCAACTTTCTTGAGCGACAGCCAATAGGAGGCGCAGTAGAGCTGACGTGATCCTCTCTCAGCTTGCTCCGAGGCCAGTTGTATTCTCCATGTTCTAGAATACAACTTACACAGACCTGCGTTTGCAGCAAGGCACCACCCAGAGCATCAGGCAGCTACAAAGTTGCTGCTGGTGTGAATGAGACATAAGTGAGCAAGTAAAACCGTCTGAGAACACGACTCATATTAAATGAGCAGAACATCAGTAACTTCTACATGTTCCCACTAGGGCTTGGCAGTATGACCAAAAAAGTATTATTTTAAGGGGATGGGGACGTTTATTCGACGGTAACGATATCTTTCTCAATATAGTTTTTTTTAAAAGATAGTTGTTCCAGAAAATGTACAAAAAGGCTATATATAATAAGTGAAGTTTCACAAACTAATTTCAAGCGGAGGACATGATATGATTGACTGGAGCTGGTCTCTCATCTACAATCATTAGTTAGCCAATCAGATTAATCCAAACTCACTATAAGTAGCCTAGCAAAAATTACCCCCTTATCTTCGTTTTCCGAAGAAACCCCCATCCACCCCTTCTCCCCCTTTCCTCCTTTACCACGGGGAGCTCTCGAGAACCACCTGATCTCGCACTCCCCTCACATGCTCTATTGACCAGGCGGGAGCCCTGGGCTCAATTATCTCTGAGCTCAGAGTTCTCTCCCGGGACAGCATGCCAAACCTGCTAATAGCATCAGTCAATATCTAAGTGTGAACTCTTAAAACAAACATAAATATTTAAGAAAAGAACAGGACTTGATCTTATTTGATTATGTTGTATTTTATTTTTAACCTCATAAATCTAGTAAACAAAATATGACTTTAGATGAACAGCAAATTCCACTGTATGCCACATTCCGTTTTGTTTTATGTGGCACATTTTGTTTTATGTGGACAGAACTTATTATTATAAACATTTCTCAAGTAGCATCTTCTCACAGGTTTAAAAGATGTCCCAAGTAACATGAAAATAAAACTAACCAGTTAAATATGAAACGAAATATTAACGAAATGTCAAACCATTTTTTCCTTCAAAAATACTAATTATAAACAATTACAATTCTTGTGTAAATATTAAAAATTAGCGATAAAAAAAATCAACTGCCAGTCTTCCATGTAGCATCTATCGTAGCCTCACACATGGTGCACGTGAGTTGGCTTCTTATTTACATTTTGTGGTATAGACGGAATAAAAAAAACATTTTACAGTACACATTCTATTCCACAGTAACAAATTATATCGTCACACCACCAAGCCGTAGTTTCCACATTAAAATGGGAGCAGCAGTTGACTAATTGGAAAAAAATATATATTTTGGGGGGGGTTTTAGTTTCAGGCAACCCTGGTCGGACTGAACCAGTAGTAAAACCTCTTAACACTGAGATATGCTTGAAGGATCCAATTCTAGCAAATTAAGAAATTAATACATGTATGATTATTCTAATAAGGACAGCACAGTGGCTCAGTGGTTAGCAACGTCACCTCACAGCAAGGTGGTCACTGATTTGATTCCCGAATCGGCCAGTTGCCTTTTCTTTGTGAAGTGTTTGCATGTTCTCCCTATGTTGGCGTGGTCTACCTCCGGGTGTTCTGGTTTCCCCCACAGTTCAAAGACATGCATAGGTGAATTGAATAAACTAAATTGGCCATAGTGTTTGAGTGCGGGTGTGAATGTTAGGTGTTTCCCAGTACTTGGTTGCGTCTGGATGGGCATCCGCTGCGTAAAACATATACCGTTTCCGGTTCATTCCTCTGTGGCGAACCATGATATAGTGTAGAGGACTAAGCCTAAGGAAAATGAATGAATGAAGGAATATTATAATTTTAATGCTGTGCCAACATTTGCCCACGGCGTTAAAATTGGTATCAATAGTATTCAAGTTAGAAAGTCAACATTAGTCGTAATGTACAATCTTCTAATAATGTTTTTTCCCCTGTTTTTGCAGGTCGGCTCCAGGTGACATTATTGGGCTGTATGGGTCTTCTGGAGGTGGTTCCCGGACGCTCTCGTGGTAGCCAGGTGGTTTTACCGTGTTACAGTCCAGGAGAGGGACGATCATTCATGCGCAGTGGAAAAGGCCTGTATAGTCGCAGTGGCAGCGTTAGTGGAAAAACACCCCTCAAAACCGACGAACTCTCCTGTGAGTGTGTGAGGATGTCACGCTTCTAGTGCGTTTTGGCTGTAGTGATGTGCGAGTTCTGATATAACTCAGTAATCTGTTGTGTCTGTCATGTGTGATGACAGCCCTGCCTTGAGCAGAACAGGATGTCGTGCATCTGAGCTTTTAACACATGGGGTGTTGCATTGCCAGTCTGGCAAGTCGTTTGCTGACGTTTGCAACATTTGCAGCTTGTGTTTACTCGCATAGTATATTTTTTGAAAAACAAGTTGTGTTTAGCATCTCAAATGTGCTGCGATTTGTGTTACAAAATGACGTGTATAGTGCAGTAATTACTAGTAAGGCGTACTTTTATTTCTTTTTCTGTCCGTATTGGGGTTTGTTTTGGAGAGGAAGTAAAATACATTTTTATGATATTAGTAGACTATGCAGACGATGCATATATACATTATCTGACAAAAGTTTTGTCATCGATCCCATTATAACCTGACTTCTAGTTCAATCAATTGGAAAATTGGCCGAAGGTAGTTTTTTTCAGATTAATCATCTGTTGAACTGCATCCCAATCATCACAAGTACTGCAGATTGTACATTGATTATTGGAATCCACATGGACCCAAGATTCTCAGAGAAATCAGTCAAGTTTGGTGATGGAAAAATCATGGTTTAGGGTTACATTCAGTATGGGGGCATGCAAGAGATCTGCAGAGTGGATGGCAACATCAACAGCCTGAGGTATCTAGACATTTGTGTTGCCGATTACTGTACAAACCACAAGAGAGGGCAAATTATTTTCATATAAGCCACTTCTGATATCAAATGATGGACTAGAAGTCAAGGTATTATTTGTTGTCCCTAAGGGTGCTTTCACACTAGCACTTTTGGTCCGCTCCCGGGTTCATTTGATGTCATAGTACGGTACGTTTAGCTAGTGTGAACGTGTCTTCTAAACTTGGGTGCGCACGCGTGAACCGTACCCGAGTCCGCCTGAAAGAGGTGGTCTGGGGTGCGGTTCATGTGAACTCTGGTACGGGTCACTTTTGATGTGAATGCAATCGTACCAAATAACGGAAGTGAACCGCCAACTGTACAACAAACTATCATTTTCATAACGTTCGTGTGTGTGTCTGTGTCACGTTTCGTACCTTGGTGACACGCGGTACGGGACTGAGCCAGGACAAACACAGTGATGTCTGCTTGTCTCCTTCAAAAACAGCTCCTGCAGACACTGTGTGATGTTCTGAATGTTTCTAACATTTTTGCGGCAGATGGACGCGAGTCGCTTTCTGTATGTCCAAAACCAAAAGCTTTAGTAAAAGCAGAATGACCATGATGTGCAGACGTCTTTCCATTTCGGCACGTGCTTTCGTGACCGTCACCTAGCAACGGCCTTAAACAAAACAGCAGCTCCATGACGCAAGCGTACCGGGGATCAGAAGGAAAAAAGACAGTATGAACACAAACCAACCGAGGAGGTGGCAGGGGGAAACAATCGAACTTGGGTACGGTCCAGGCAAATGAACCAAGTGTTAAAGCACCCTAAAACTTGGATAGGCGACAATACTTGTCAGTTAGTGTATATAATAGTTATTTAATTTCTTGTGGCTCGCAACAACTACAGAATATTTGCTGAGTGTATTTTGTGGTGGTATCTGTGCTTGTTTTTCGTCAATGACGACCAAGTGTGACATTAAAACATTCATACATTCGATCGTTTATTTAACCGATTTTAAACAGCTGATTCATTAATTTAAAAAAAACCCAAGTGATTCTATTTTCTAAATGAATTATTGAATTATTGACTCACTCAGTTTTTTTCAATACAGTATATAAATACATTTGTAAATAAATGAAAAAACATTACAAGAAAGACAGTATTGTGTCTGAAATACCCTAATAGCACACATACATCACAGAAATGTCTTCTTTTACACCTGGAAGATGTCATTTGTATTTGATAGATCAGGGGTCACCAATCTCGTTTGCGAAGGTCTGGTGCCCTGCAGGTTTTAGCTCCAACTTGCCTCAACACACCTGCTTGGGTGTTTTAAGTATACCTAGTAAGACCTTGATTAGCTTGTTCAGGTGTGTTTGATTAGGGTTGAAGCTAAAATCTGCAGGACACCGGCCCTCCAGGAATAAGTTTGGTGACCCCGGTGATAGATGATAAACAGACATTTAGAATATGTCTTCAAGAGGTTTTTAACTTATGATTTTCATAAAACAGACCTATTAAAGAGTTTAAATCTGATTATTTCACACAGCAGTTTTCCAGAGAATGCACTCTACAAAATAGATCTTGTAAATACACATGCTATGCTATGGTTTGTCAAGTTATTGTCAGATGTGACTTGGATTGGTATTCTTCAGAAAGTGTACAAAAAAGCCTAATATTTGATGGATTTTGGATTTGATGTTTGTTTTGTGTGTGTGTGTGTATAGCGGATGTGAGCGCAGTATTGAAGCTGGACAACACTGTGGTGTGTCAGACGGCATGGAAGATGGTTGGAGAACAGGGCTGGGATCAGACCTTCATCATCGAGCTGGAGAGAGTGAGTTCAGCTCTGCGTTAATAGTAGATTTGCTCAGATTAGAGCTTCAGTATCTGTTTCATTAATTAACGCTCCAGGCATTAGACTGTAATTATAGTTATAAAAATAAAATCCTGCGGATATGTAACATCAGTGTCCCGCTAACTGGAGCGTCTCAAAAAACTCTTACGCAAGCAATGACAAGCTGTTGTTTAGGTTCAGAGGAAAAAAGCACACTGAACATGCAAAGTGATTAACGCTCATGCAAATTAAGACCGGCATGATTCAGCGACTCTTTTACAGTTATTTGTGTGTAATAAGTGGCAAGTGAATGTTTTAAAATATATCTGATCAGCATTTTAAACTAAAAACAAAAACTAAACCTATTTTTTTATTCAATAATTGAAACATTATTAGCTGTTTTATTACAGGGTCCCCGCAGAGTCTTAAAAAGTCTCTAAAATTTCTTTAATTTCAAAAACTAAATTTTAGGTCTTAAAAAGTCTTAAATTCATTAAAATGTTATCTAAACAGGTCTAAATTTTCCTCTGTCCAAGTAAAGCTACCCAGTGGGGCTGACATCCATCCAATCACCAACAATCCATCCTAATAAAACCTTATTTTTTATATTTAAGTTTTATATTTCAGTTTTTTAATGGCAAAGAGATAAAATTTGAAATAGTTGTTAGACATCTTTATAGCAATTTCTTCCAATTAAACTCCCAAATTTCCAATCACACAATTCCTAAGGATAATAACAGAGCAATGTGTCCCTTTACGTTATTTTCCATTCATAGAATTTTTTTTTTACAGGATTAGGAGGGAGTAGATATAATATTTCTATTATTTTTTATTAATTCCATTTCTATTAAATCCAACAAATGCATATTTTTGATCATATAACGAATACTTCACAATAAAAAATACTTTTGAACAATGTTAAACGTGTCATGTTGGAAAAAAGTGTATACAACTAGAGTTTTTTTGTTTGAACACATTAAAGTTGCTAAGAAGTAACAATAATAGTAATATGTTTGTGGCAATTAAAAAAGTCTAAAAATGTTATTCTTAATGGTCTTAAAAGAATCTTAAAATGTCTTAAATTTGACTTAATGAAACCTGCAGAAACCCTGTGTTTTTTTAAAAGGTCTTAAATTTCAAACACTAGTTTTAATAGTTCTTAATTTTCCTATGTCCATGTAAAGTTACCTAAAATTGTTTAAAGACCCATCCAATCACCAGCAATACATCTCTATAAAACTTCAAACAAAAGTTTATATATTAACTTTATTTACCAACATCATTTCATTATCTTCCTTAAAACAGCCGAGGCTCGAACCAGCGACCTTCTTGCTGTGAGACGAAAGTGCTACCCACTTTAAATACTTTTTAATAATAAAATATTTAAATATTTAATACAGCAAATATTATTAGTATAATGACTGTTTACTCTAATTGTTATAGCAAACTAACTAGCTGCATTGCTAAAAAATGAAATAAAATTCTGACAATGTGCTGTATACAAAATTGCCAAATCATAAAATGAAATGAAAAATGAATTAAAGCTAAGCAGAAATATTTAAAAACTTGTAAAAATGGCTCAAGTGCCGAACAAAATTGCTAACAAAAAAACCTGTAAATATAAATAAGCTCAAACAAAACAATAACACATTACGAAAAATATAAACGTAGTACTAGAATAAAGCTTTGATGTTGATGATATTGATTGATTTGTGTGTATGTGTGTGTGCACAGTCCAGAGAGATGGAGATTGCCGTGTACTGGAGAGACTACCGCTCTCTGTGTGCGCTGAAATTTCTCAAGCTGGAGGATTTCTTGGACAACCAGAAACACAAAGTACAACTAGAGCTAGAACCACAGGGACTGCTGCTGGCAGAGGTGCACACTCAACATAACATGTTTCCTGTGTGTTATAAAGAGAGAAATCACATCACAGCCAAATCAAATAAATGTGCTGTAATCATCAGTGTTCACCAATGGGCTGAGTGTATATGTGTACCATCTGTTTGCCTCAGGTTACTTTCTTTAACCCTGTGATTGAGAGGGTTCCACGGCTAAAACGGCAGAAGAATGTTTTCTCCAAGCAGCAGGGTAAGAGACATGGGTACATGTGTTCTGTGTTGGGATGTGCGCATCTATTGATTTATTCATCTAAATTTAACCTAAATTGTTTCGCAGGGTTTTAAATTGTATTAAAAGTGTATAAATCTTTTTAAAGTAATGTAAGACCCTTAAAAGGTATTAACATGTCTTAAATGCTATTAATAATCTTTGATTATACAATTTATATGCCAAGGTTTGAATCAAATACGCAAATATAGGAATGCTGTGTAAATTGATTGTGAAGTAGAGATATGTGCAGGACTGGATTTTTAATCCCGCTCCCGCCAGGTTTTATTCCGCACCCGACCGCTCCGGCTGTATATTCTTTGTTCAACCGCTGCCTAACCCGCCATATTTTCTACTCTAATTTTAAATCACTTGAAAAAGTTTAACTAGTGATAAAACAGTTTGTTTTGGTCACATACTTATTTTTTATTTTAGCGCGATGCGCGGTGGCGCAGTAGGTAGTGCTTTCGCATCACAGGAAGAAGGTCGCTGGGTCGAGTCTTGGTCAGTTGGCATTTCTGTGTGGAATTTGCATGTTCTCCCCGCGTTTGCGTGGGTTTCCTTTCCTCCACAAGTCCAAAGACATGCGGTACAGGTGAATTGGGTTAGCTAAATTGTCCGCATGTTTTTATGAGTTTGAATGAGTGTGTATGGATGTTTCCCAATGATGGGTTGCAGCTGGATGGGCATCCACTGCGTGAAACATGTGCTGGATAATTTGCAGTTTTTTTCCGCTGTGGCGACTCCAGATTACTAAAGGAAGACTTTTTTATAAGAAAGTGAATGAATGAATGGTTTCTGATTTTCAAAACATTTCAAAATCGGTATTGGAATTGGCCAGTTTGTGCTTTTTTACAATAAGCATTTAGTAAATATACAAGCTAAAATGTCCCCAGTGTTACAGGGTTTACTCTAAAAAAGTGGCAATGGGGTCCTAAAATGTATGGAAACGTTGTTAAAAGTCTTAAGAGGTACAGTGTTGAATTAAACTCAGTGATTCCTGTATATACCCTGCTTTACCTTTGGCTCTGTAAAGATTGCCACCTTGCAATACAAACGTCATGGATTAATTTGAAACCAACAACTGATTTAAAAAAAAAAAAGAAAACGTATAATAATACTAAAAATGAACAATAATTCAATTCAATTTATTTATAAAGCACTTTAAAACAGCCCAGTTGACCAAAGTGCTGACAACAAAGAGTAAAACAAACTTTAAAATACAAATAAATAAACATAAAATTTCAACGTCTCACGCTGTGCTAAAAGCCAAATTGAACAAGTGGGTTTTAAGCAGAGATTTAAAAATAGTAATGGAAGAGGCCTGTCTAATGTACAACGGCAGCTCATTCCACAATTTTGGTGCAGCCACAGGAAAAGCCCGATCCCCTCTGAGCTTTCGACTGGTCCTGGGCACACCCAGGAGGAGCTGGTCGGCTGACCTGAGTGAACGAGAAGGAGTGTAGGGACAGAGAAGCTCAGAGAGGTAAAGGGGTGCAGTACCATTTAGACACTTAAAAATAATTAAAACTTAAAATGGATCCTGAAATGCACGGGCAGCCAGTGAAGAGAAGATAAAATCGGGGTGATGTGCTCGTATTTGCGTGTGCCAGTTAAAAGACGTGCAGCTGCATTCTGAACCAGTTGCAGTCAAGAGATCGAAGACTGACTCACCTCAAAATAAAGGGCATTGCAGTAGTCCAAGCGGGAGGTTGTAAAAGCATGGATTACTGTTTCAAAGTGCTTGTGCGATAAAACATGCTTAATTTTGGCCAGTTGTCGTAAGTGAAAGTGTCACGTGAGGAGATCAAAGCAAGAAACAACAGAGACGAGGATCCAAGTGCAGATAAAATAAGATTATATTTAAGCAAAACAGGGACAAACAGAAGTGGCTGATACAAAAAGGACAATCCAAAAACTTAGTCAAAAAACTGGCAAAAGGTCAAAAATAGATGGCAAACAGGAATCAAACAATAAACAAGGCTAAAGTCAAGAAACAGGCAAAACAACAAGAAGCTAGGACATGCAAAGTACGTACATCAACATCAAAGACTCCGTACTAAACTGGTGTACGTGTGGTGTATAAACAGTCTAAATGATCAGTCATCACAAGTCTCAGCTGTGCCTCATCAGCCTTGATGAGCAGCTGGTGTTTGGCATGGCCTGATAGGACTTGTAGTTCCTAAACATGACATTTGTAGTTCTCCAGCGATCTGTCAGGAAGGATCACTAGTGAACATAACTGAGAAAATAATAATAATTAACAATAATAACAATAATGATCATTTACCCACCTTTTTCTCTCACTCGTGTTTCTAAACTTTGCTCAAATTCTTTTTTCCGTTGATCACTAAGCAAGATATTCAGATAAATGTTGTGCCATTTACATCCATAGTAGGAATTAAAAATACTATGAAAGTCATTGGCTGTTTTTTCACCATTCTTCAGTATATCATCCTTTGTGTTCAATAGAAGAAAGAAAATCAAACAGATTTGGAACAAGAGGATGGGTAAATGATGGCATGAGGTCAGTGAGCTCCATCTAGTGGTCAGTGTTGTAACTTTTCTCTTTTGTGTATGTGTTTGTTTGTGATCATACACAGGTAAAGCATTTTTGCGAGCTCGACAGATGAACGTTGATATTGGCACATTCGTGAGGTTACTGAGGAACGCCATACCAACCGTCAACAACACAGGAACCTACAGCCCTAACGCGCACACTCTACAGACTGGGTAAATCACACACACCATCAGATGTGCCTGTACCATCTTCCGCAATTTGTAATAACAGTGTCAACAAAACAAAAACGGTTGCTTGTGTATCTTTTTGTTAAGGTTATAATGTTACACAAATAGTACATATTTAGATAAAATGGTAGATTTACATCTTTGTCATCCTGTTTATTATTTATAAAAGTCTAAAATGTCCATACTTAACTGAAATTACATTTGTTCTTAGATATTTTTTTGCAGTTACTAACATATGTGTTTGTTACAGGGAGATATCAGTGGAGAAGTTGAGTTTAGATTTTGATTCACCAATGAAGGTGGACATCCGGCGGGAGGTGACAGATATAAGCACTCCGGTTAGAGACTTTCTCTCTCTTTTAACGTCTTTATTCTTTCTTTTTTTTTTACTTTAAATCCTCTCATATGTAAGCTTTTTCCCTTCCTCCATAACCCCTCCCATCTACTTTAACCCCTCCTCTTTAAATGTAATTCCTCCTGTTTAACTACTGTATAACGCCTCTATATTTAGCCCCTCTTATAAAGCAGCTTCTCTCTTATTCTTTTCATCTCTGTAGCCTCCTGTTTTTCTGTGATTCTTTTTTTATATGTAGACCCTCTCATCCACCCTTAACTCCTCTTATTTATATTCCCCGTTTTATCTATATGTAACTACTTTATAATGAACCCCTCTCATTTATCTGTAACTTCTCCTCTTTACATTTATCCCCTTCTAACTATCTGCAACTCCTATTTATGTTAAACCTCTCCCATCTATATTTAACCCCTCCGCTTTATATTTAATCTGTTATATCTATATGTAACTCCTTCATATTAAGCCCCTCCCATCTACCTGTAACTCCTCCTCTTTATATTAAGCCCCTCCCATTTATCGGTAACCCCTCCTCTTTATATTTAATCTGTTTTATCTATATGTAACTCCTTTATATTAAGCCCCTCCCATCTACCTGTTACTCCTCTTCTTTATATTAAGCCCCTCCCATCTATTGGTAACTTCTCTTTATATTAAGCCCCTCCCATCTATCTTTAACCCCTCCTCTTTATATTTAATCTGTTTTATCTATATGTAACTCCTTTATATTAAGCCCCTCCCATCTACCTGTTACTCCTCTTCTTTATATTAAGCCCCTCCCATCTATTGGTAACTTCTCCTCTTTATATTAAGCCCCTCCCATCTATCTGTAACCCCTCCTCTTTATATTTAATCTGTTTTATCTATATGTAACTCCTTTATATTAAGCCCCTCCCATCTACCTGTTACTCCTCTTCTTTATATTAAGCCCCTCCCATCTATTGGTAACTTCTCTTTATATTAAGCCCCTCCCATCTATCTTTAACCCCTCCTCTTTATATTTAATCTGTTTTATCTATATGTAACTCCTTTATATTAAGCCCCTCCCATCTACCTGTTACTCCTCTTCTTTATATTAGGCCCCTCCCATCTATCGGTGAATTCTCCTCTTTATATTAAGCCCCTCCCATCTATCTGTAACCCCTTCTCTTTATATTTGATCTGTTTTATCTATATGTAACTCCTTTATTAATGTAACTCCTTTATTAAGACTCTCCTATCTATCTGTAACTCCTCTTTATATGAAGTCCCTTCCATCTATCTGTAACCCCTCCTCTTTATATTAAGCCCATCCCAACTATGTATAACTCTTCCTCTTTATATTAAGCCCCTCCATTTATATCTGCAACTCCTCCTCCTTATAATGCACCCCTTCTATCTGTCTGCATCTTCTTCTCTCAATATTAAGCACGTCCCATCCATAACTTCTTCTCTTTATATTTAGCCCCTTCTAACTATCTGCAACTCATCTTTATATTAAGCCCCTCCATTTAAACCTGCAACTCCTCCTCTTTATAATGCACCCCTCCCATCAGTCTGCATCTCCTCCTCTCTATATAAAGCCCCTCAAATCTATATTTTATACCCCTATATTTTGCCCATTCATCTTCATAACACCTCCCCGTTAAATCAAGCCACTCCCATCTATCCATAACCCCTCCTCTTTATATGTAAACTGTTCTGAGTATATGTAACTTCTTTATAATGAGCCCCTCCCATATATCTACAGCTCCTCCTCTTTATATTAAGCTCCTCCCATCTGCCTGTAACTACTACTTTTTATATTTAACCTATTAAGTCTTGATAAACCTATTAAATTTCTTTATAATGAACACCTCTCAACTATAATCACTCCTCTATAAATTTAGTCCCTCCTATCTATCTGCAGCCCCTCCTCTTTGTATTTAGCCCCTCCCATTGGTCTCTAACTCCTCCCCTTTCTTTTTTTCTTTCATAGGAGAGGCAGCCGTCCACCGAGCCTCTCTCTGCTCCAGACGTCACCACGCCTATCAGAACACACTCATTGAGCAGGTACCGTCAAACACATAACTCCCACTATATCTAAGGTATTTTTGTGTTTTTTAAGTGTGTGTGTCTGTGTGTGTGTGTGTGTGTGTGTGTGTGTGTGTGTGTGTAGTAAACAGAAGAAGACTTCTCTGAGCCTGCAGGATTTCCGACTAATTGCAGTTCTTGGCAGAGGCCATTTTGGAAAGGTGATTTTCTGCCTTCTTCACCCTCAGCTTCTCTTTCTCTTTGAGTTTAGTTTCTCATGTCATATCTGTGTCTATCAGGTGCTGCTGGCGGAATATAAGAAGTCAGGGAGTATGTATGCCATTAAAGCTCTAAAGAAAGGAGACATTGTAGCCAGAGATGAAGTAGAAAGGTAAACATAAGAGCTTTTTTTTCGGGGATTTTGCTTTGAGTTGAAGTTTGTTCCTGATTTCTTTATTTTCTTTCTCTGTTTTTTCATCAGTTTGATGTGTGAGAAGCGTATTTTCGAGGCAGTGAACGGTGCACAACACCCCTTCCTTGTCAACCTGTTTGCGTGTTTCCAGACTCCAGAACATGTGTGTTTTGTGATGGAGTACACAGCAGGCGGTGACCTCATGATGCACATACATGCAGACGTCTTCACCGAGCCACGGGCTGTGTACGTACACCCTGTTTTAGCCAGGTTTTGTTTACTGTATAATTAAAAATCTCAAAATCATCTACAGCAGAGTAGATAAGGATATTTTAAAACGTCTTTTATGTTGGGCTCAGTCTATGTTTTAAACACATTTTTTTGCATTCTTGCTTCATTCTTCAGTTTCACATGAATGGGTTTTTGCTGAAGACACTTTTTTGAGTTCATATTATATACAGTTGCAAAGTTAATATTTGGGGTAGAAGATGAAAATATCATAATAAATAAATATACTTGATTTTTTGTGTGTTTGTCTGTGTTGCAGGTTTTATTCTGCTTGTGTAGTTTTAGGGCTTCAGTTTTTACATGACAACAAGATTGTGTACCGGTGAGTATGCAGGAAATAAGATCTCTGCAAATGTTCTTTGTTTTTAAAGAATGTTACATGTGTTTGTGTGTTTTTTTAACAATTGTATTGATTAAAATAACCTGAAAAATCACATGTACAAATCCTTTGGCAGCAATTACAGCCTCAAGTATTTATGAATATGATGCTGCAAGCTTGGCACAGCTGTCTTTGGGAATTTTTGCCCATTCCTCTTTGCAGTAGCTCTCAAGCTCTATCAGGTTTGATGGGAAGTGATGATGTACAGCCATTTTCAGATCTCTCCGGAGATGTTTAATAGGAGTTAGGTCTGGGCTCTGGCTGGGCCACTCAAGGACATTCACTGAGTTGTTGTGAAGCCACTCCATTGATATTTTGGCACTGTGCTTTGGGTTATTGCCCTGCTGGAAGATGAACCGTTTCCCCAGTCAGATATCAAGAGCACTCTGAAGCAGATTTTCATTCAGGATGTCTTTGAACAATGCTGCCTTCATTTTTCCCTCTACCCTGACTAGTCTTCCAGTTCCTGCTGCTGAAAAACATCCCCACAGCATGATGCTGCAACCACCATGTTTCATTATAGGGATGGTATTAGCCTGGTGATGAGTTTTGCATGGTTTTCTCCAAACGTAACGACTGGCATTTACTCCAAAGAGTTCAATTTTAGTCTCATCAGACCAGAGAATTTAGTTTCTTATGGTCTGAGAGTCCTTCAGATGCCTTTTGACAAATTCTAGGTGGGAATGGCATCTGTCTGCTCACTCAGCTTAGATAGCCGGCCAGTTCTAGGAAGAGTCCTGGTGGTTCCAAACATCTTCCACTTATGGATAATGTAGGCCACTGTGCTCATTGGAACTTACAGAGCAGCAGAAAGTTTTTCTGTAACCTTCCCCAGCCTTGTGCCTCGAGACAATCCTGTCTCAGAGGTCTACAGACAATTCCTTTGTCTTCATGCTTGGTTTGTGCTTTGACATGCACTGTCAACCCTGAGACCTTATAAAGACAGGTGTATGCCTTTTTTAAATCATGTCCAATCAACTGAATTTATCACAGGTGAACTCCAATCAAGCTGCTGAAACATCTCAAGAATGATCAGTGGAAACAGAATGTACATGAGCTCAATTTAGAGCTTCACTGCAAAGGCTGTCAATACTAATGTACATGTGATTTTTTCAGGGTTTTTATTTTTGATAAATTTGCAACAATTTCAAAAAATATTTTTTTACATTGTCATTATGGGGTATTGTGTGTAGAATTTTGAGGAAATAAATTCATTTTGGAACAAGGCTGTAACATAAGATAATGTGGAAAAAGTGAAGCGCCATGAAAACTATATATTCTGATATATATAGTTTTATATATAGAATATTTTGAATATATATATATATATATTCTCACACAGTCAAAATGTTTGTTTTTGTCTTCCAGAGATCTTAAATTAGACAACTTGCTGCTTGACACAGAGGGTTATGTGAAGATTGCCGACTTTGGATTGTGTAAAGAAGGTAAAAGCCTCTTTTTGGACTTTGATTATTTCTTTGTTTTCCTTTATCACCCATCTGATGACGTTGTTGCTCATGTTGAATTGGGATGTTTTTGTCTCTTATTCTCAGGTATGGGTTTTGGGGACCGGACCAGTACGTTCTGCGGGACTCCAGAGTTTCTGGCTCCAGAGGTTTTGACAGACACATCGTACACCCGTGCTGTGGACTGGTGGGGTCTCGGAGTGCTTATATATGAAATGTTGGTGGGAGAGGTGAGCTTGTTTTAGGCTTTTAGATATGAAATACTCTTTCAGAATCGTGAGAGATGTGTCTGATCTGAAACTGTCTTGCCAGTCCCCATTCCCAGGTGATGACGAAGAGGAAGTTTTTGACAGCATAGTGAATGATGAAGTTCGATACCCCAGGTTCCTGTCCGCAGAGGCCATTGGCATCATGAGGAGGGTAAATAAATCACACAGTTGACAGAACTTTTTGAGAAATTATATTTTACCAATGTCTTTCTGTCTATGTTATTCAGTGAGTTTGAAGAATTTGTTTTGGTGTATTTTGTGTTCAAAAGTTACTAAGGAGAAATCCAGAAAGACGACTGGGCTCCAGTGAGAAAGATGCAGAAGATGTAAAGAAACAGCCTTTCTTCAGGGTAAGAGAGATGTTTAATCTTTTGAAAACTGTTGGTCTGAGTTACGATTAAATTATCAATAACTCTTAAATTATCCAACTTCTCATGAAATTCTCTGCCTATTGCACAACACTTGCACTTGCACTTGCACATAGATTTGTTTCTAATGTTGGTGAATTTGGAGTATTAGAGTATCAACAGGCACAGGGCGTCAGATTGACGTTGTACCCCAACATTGTGGGACGTTGCATTTTGTTTGGAAAACGAAAATCAGGTTAACCTAAATACAACTAACTATCAACATCTAAAGATGATACAGCTTGACGTTGTGTGGACGTTACCAATGTGATATATCAGATGTTGAACTTTGGTTGCCATACCTGTCAGTATTTGACATCAATATGACGTTGGTTTAAGATATTGGCTCGATGTTGGATTTTGGTCACATTCCAACACAACCTAAAATACACACAATACATTGTAATTTCACGTCGTGATTGGACGTCAAAATAACATTGTTCTTAGACGCTGACAACCTAAATCTAACCTGATATTAACGTCTTATGATGTTGTCTGTCTGCTGGATTTAGTCTCAAAAGTCAAGTATGGCATTCACAAAACCACTTTTTTTTATTTAAAAGACAATATTCTGAAAATGTTGAAAATAAGTAACCATAAACATCCGATGTAGGAAAAACAAATACTATGGAAGTCAATGGTTACCGGTTTTCAACATTCTTCAAAATATTTTATTTTGTGTTCAACAGAAGAAAGAAACTAAAAATAGGTTTAAAACAAGTGGTGGATGAATAAATGATAATGGAATTTTCTTTTTATTGTGTGAACTATGCCTTTAATATACCTAACGTGAATAAATTGTGCAGTGGTTTTGTGCAGAACCAAGAGTTAGTTGACTGGCAAAGAGTCAAATGTTCTCTCTTGTTTAGTACCTGATAAACGTCTTGCAGTGATGTTTACTATCAATTGTAAACTGTTTAATAATGATTAATTGACAATAGTCTAGCCTTGTCAAAATAAAAGCATGAATGGCTTCTTCACAAAGGGCTACAGTTATTAAAAAAATAAAAACTTAATATCAGGGTTCCCTCGGATTCAAGGCCTGGAAAGTACTTAACATAGGTCCTTGAAAGTGCTTAAATTACATGTAAAATAAAATTTGTTTATGTGTATATTCAATGAGTTGTACTCAATTGTCAAAAACAGAAGGAAAAAACAGAGAAATCTTAAAGGGCATCTATGATGAAAATTGAGTGATATAAGTCTGTTGTTCGGGAAAACGTGGGAACCCTGTAATAAGCTTGTCTTCTTTTTCTTTCCCTCAGAATATGGACTGGGAGGCTCTTCTCCTCCGCAAACTCCCTCCTCCTTTTATTCCATCCATCGGAGGAAAAGAAGACGTCAGCAACTTTGATGAGGAGTTCACGACAGAAGCGCCGACTCTCACTCCTCCCCGCGAGCCTCGAGTGCTTTCGCGCAAAGATCAGGACAGTTTCCGGGACTTCGACTATGTGTCTGACCTCTGCTGAGAGCGGCTTCACTGTGATCGTGCTTATAGAGACATTTCTCCTCCGTGACCAGGAGGACAAGAGTGGCCAATTTGAGTGTGTGAATTGTGAATGTGCTGGACCTGAGAAACACTGTGATGGAGGAAAAGGTCTGGAATACAGTTAGAAATGGATCAAAGATGGAAATAGTTAGTTGGTGGCAGATTTAAAGGTGCACTTGATAAATCACACTGACGGCTAGTGGTATGGTTGAATCACACTGAAGAATTCAATTAGCCGACTGTATTGACCTTATTCTTCAGTGCGATTGTTTTAGAACAGGGTTTTTGCCCAAACTAGGTCCTGGACGTCCGGTGTATTACAGGCATCAACTTGCCTCAGCCCACCTGCACGGATGTTTCTAGAAAGCCTAGTAAAGCTTGATTAGATAACACAGGTGTGTCTGATTGGAGCTGGAATTAAACCTTGAAGGACACTGGCCCTCCAGGACTCTGGTTGCGTCCGAAATTGCATACTTCCATACTATACAGTACGCTAAAATCAGTATGTGAGCCGAGTAGTATGTCCGAATTCATAGAATTCGAAAATCGGTAGGCGAGAAGTACCCGGATGACTTACTACTTCCTGGCGAGATTTTGAAGTGCGCATCTCATGCACGCTGTGCTATCCCATAATGCCCCGTGAGAGAATTCATGAATGGAAGTGAGGCGACGCAACTGACGCAGGTAGGTCACGTGGCCATGACAAAATGGCGGATGTAGTACGTCCGAATTCCATTCATACTTTTCACATTCATACTGTATAGAACGTACTTCTATCTAACGGCCGAGTAGTACGTTTAAATTCAAATGCAGTACCTACTGAGTAGTAGGCGATTTCGGACGCAGCCTCTGTTTTAGAACTTCCGATTTAGTTACCTATGGCAGAAATGACTAGGGATAATAAACGACAGAAACGGTCAAACTACTTGCTCTGCAAACAAGTGTGTTCATGACTGTACATTAAAAGTAGAATAATACAATAAGAAAATACCACTTCGCAATATCAAGCAGCAGAACGAGCTGTTTTTAACGTCTAAAAATCAATGGAAGTCAGTAAAACTGGATGTTTGGAGACAAATAGATTCCTACACATGTGTAAAGAATAAGTTCAATACGGGTTGTATCTAAAATCGCCCCCTATCCCCTTAAATAGTGCACTCTTTGAGGCAGCAGCCATTTGTAGTGGTCTCAAAAACCATAGTGGATGTTAAAAAGTGCACTTAATCCCACAATGCACCGCAATAACCACTATACACTAAATGGCTGCATTCAAAATCACATACTTTCATACTATACAGTATGCCAAAACAGTATGTGGGCCGAGTAGTATGTCTGAATTTACCTATTTTTTCCAGCGAGATTCTAAAGTGCGCATCAGATGGATGCTACGGTATCCCATAATGCTTCGCGAGAGAATTCATGAATGGCAGTGAAGCGACACAACTGATGTCGGTAGAACATGGATCATGACAAAATGGCAGATGTAGTACATCCGAGTTCCATTCATACTGTATAGAACAGGGGACTCAAACTTTAAACACCCTCACGGCCCGCACTCCTCATCCCTCCGACCTGCAACGAAATTCGGCGCCTCCCCCCACCCTGTGGCCTTTAGTTCAGGATCACCTCTTCTACCTTAACCCCCTCACCCTTCTGATCTTTAGTTTGCAATCGTCTTCCCACCCCCGCTCTTCAGTTTGCGAACCACCTCCCTCCTCCGTTTTTCAGTTTGAGTTTGCAGACTGAAATAATATTTTTGTCTGACCACAAGGTGGCATCAATCCTATGTCTTCTTCTTCTCCTTCACTCTATAAGTAAATTATATTAGTTGACTAATGTAGGGTATAGTGAATGAGGGTATATAGGAAGCGATTTCGAATACAGACATGCACAGACATGCGCCCGAAATCGCCTACTACTCAGTGAGTACTGCATTTGAATTTAAACGTACTACTCAGCCGTTAGAAAAGTACTTTGTATACAGTAAGTCAGTAGTATGAATGGAACTCGGACGTACTACATCTGCCATTTTGTCATCATCATGTAACCTACTTCACATCAGTTGCGTCGCTTCACTTCCATTCAGGAATTCGCTCACAGTGCATCATGGGATTGCGTAGCATCCGTCCAATGCGAACTTCAGAATCTCGCCAGAAGTAGTAGGTCATCTGACCTACCGTTTTTCGAATGCTATACGGACAGACTACTCAGCTCGCATACTGTTTTAAGCGAACTATATAGAATGGAAGTACGCAATTTCAAACGCCGTTATGGATTATTTTTAATTGGCCGTCGTTGATTTATGCTTGTCATGTGATCTCAAATTGGTGACCCTCTTCACCCAACCTTTTATCCTGTAGATTTAAATTGATTTTATTAGCACAGCAAACATTGAACATTCCAATATGGTTTCTGTTTGGTTCCCATTTGAGTATTTTTGGAAACCTAATAAGAACGGGAGGCTTTTTAGGGAGGCTGCTTGAAGAGAACTGTTCCGGGAATGTTTTATTTACACTTTTTAAGAAAACTTTCCTGGCAAACCAACAGAAAACATTCTGGAAACCAATAATGGTATGACTTATATGTAATCATAATATACGTTTAAAAATAGAAGAAAAAACTATCAAGTGCATCGTTAAATCTGCTAAAATTGATGGTTTGTCTTAAAGTGTCATATGCGCTTTTGAATAATGCATCTTGTCTTATGAAAGACATTGTGAAGATCTTTTATAAAACTAGAAGCAAGTCAATAAAGGTCACACAGAAACATCTCATGGAACTTTTACATGTAAACGTTACGAGCATGTTGGGAAGTGTATTTCTGTTCACTCTTTCTCCATTCTTCTTATAACTATTCTAACAGGATGATACTGTTTGAATAACTTTCATTATCCAGACCCGATGTGGACCACAAACTCAAAGGAACTTGTTTAAGGGACTCTCCTGCAGACACTGTGACTTTAAATGTAAAAACGAGATAGACTGAGAGCAGAATTGTTGGCTGATTTACAGTAAACTTGATGAATGTGTCCCAGCTCTTAATGGAGTTTAAGCCTCTTTAGACTTGTTTAGTCTGGGTTATTTCATATCTAAATACATCATGCGCTTCATCTGTTACATGTGGAAGTCAAGCATATTGAAATACAGAAGAGCAGACGTGTTTGAAGACAGTGTGGTCTCCATTTCATTAAGTGCACTTTTTAGTATGGTTACCTTGAAGAATTTATTACAAAGACAAGTAAAGCTTTTATATATAGTTTGTTTGAAGAAAATACCTTAAAATAATGTTCCTCTCTGCCCTGCTTTTTGTCCATCTTTTCATCTTTAACTTCAATCTTTAAGCCAAACAATAGATGTAGAATGTAGTGTACATCAAATGACAGAAATGAGAAATGCGAATTAGTTCCGCCGTTATTTCATTGTTGCAGTAAATTACGATTATTGTTTTATACTTTCGTGGTCTTTTAATACACTTTTTTTATATATTCTCTAGCTATATCTCAATACTGCACATGTGAGAGAATCACAATTTTCCCTGAAACATCATTTGCTGTTTACTTTATGATTATGTCAACGGCATATGCTCGTGAAGACATTGTGAGTGACAAAATAGCTTATTTTGGTATCGGGAACTCAAATATTTGATGTTTTAAATGTTTTATTATACTGGAAGGAAGGAATCATTTTAAAATTGGTTGTGGTTTTTATTTTTAACATTAGATGCTTTTATTAAACTGGGCAAAAGGGTATACACACAACAGACAAAGTCTAATGAAGTCTAATGATGTCACAGCTTGACGTTGTGTGGACGTTACCACTATAACATCAATCAGACGTTGGATTTTGGTTGCCATACCTGACGAATAAATGTCAGTATTTGACGACAATATGACGTTGGTTTAAGATGTTGGCTCGACGTTGGATTTTGGTCACTTTCCAACACAACCTAAAAACAACTAAATATCGATGTCTAATGATGATACAGCTTGAAGTTGTGTGGACGTTACCAATATGACGTCTATCAGACATTCAATTTTGGTTGCCATACCTGACGAATAAATGTCAGTATTTGACGACAATATGACGTTGGTTTAAGATGTTGGCTTGACGTTGGATTTTGGTCACTTTCCAACGCAACCTAAAATTAACAAAATATTAACGTCTAATGATGTTACAGCTTGACGTGTGGATGTTACCAATATGAAGTCTTTCAGATGGGGGTTTTTGGTTGCCATACCTGACGATTAAATATCCGTATTTAACGTTAATATGACGTTGGTTTAAAATGTTGACTCAACGTTGGATTTTGGTCCATTTTCCAACACAACCTAAAATCAACCAAATATTAGTGTCATTTTACGTCGTTATTGGACGTCAAACTAACATTGTCTGTAGTCGCTGGCAACCTAAATCTAACTTAATATCAATGACGTTTCCTGCTGGGAAACCACTTCTTTAAAGACTTCATGCCTCAAAAAGCTGATATTCTGTCTCTATTTTATAAGTTTTAAAATCATCTGAAATAATATTTCTGTTATGCGAATGAACGTATGGGTTAATTCTGGTTTCACAACTTTTAATACCTCAGAACTTCTTTGATGCCTTTGAAACATGGTTTTGTGCTGTTTCTTATAGAGTCTGTGTGAATGACAATTCATAAATAGTTGATGAATAAATGTTTTTAAAGCATCTGAATACAGTACACACACATCAAACACAAAAATAGATGACGCCAAAACACAACTCATACGTACACTGTGAAACGAAATGTAGCAAAACTGCAGCTCCCTTCACCTTTTACATGCATAACATATCTGAGGTTGAAAAATGTGTCAATCGTAAAACAACCTGAAACTACTGTCTGGCTGCACTCTATAATGCATGTCCTGTACGATTATTTATACAATATATCAAACCTAATACATGAGATGTATTCATAAAGCTGTTGTTGAGATTACCACGTGTTTGTGTTATTGTGTTATGGACACATTTGACAGACTTTGCTGAGTTATGAAAACACTTTTTTTTTTTTTTTTTAGGTACTGACAGTAATTTATTCTGTTGTTGCCTAACCCAGTGTTTCCCAATCCTGTTCCTGAAGCCACATCAACAGTACACATTTTGAACGCATCTAAATATTTCACTGCTCTTCACAGATTGCAAACACAGATACACGGACACTGGAGCATTTTAAAGCCACGAAGATCAGTCGATTCATCAAGCGGATCGCTCGTTTGTGTTTGCACTCTGTAAACATCAGTGAAGTGCGGTGAACTGATGACCTTCACGGCCAATCCCAGTCATTTTTGTTGAGCATGTGAACACAATGGCAAATCAGCGCTGTTTAAAAATGCCATCAACAGTGCCTAAAACGTAAACGGGAACATTTTTTTTCAGTACTGAAATTTTGTATTGTGAGTAATATATAGTGAAGGAATCAGTTCATTAACTTGAATTTGATAAATGGCATCTAAAATGTGCATTTGGAAAAGAAAACATTAGCTAACTAGTGCCATTTTCCTGAAATTAGCTAAAAATGAGGTCCGAAATCCCGTTTTATTTTCACTATTCATTCAGAACGAACATTCAGTTCACTCGGAAGGCGGTGAAAGTATAAATTTGTGTCACTTTTTTCTTCGCTGAGAAGATATACAGCCAGGTATACAACATTCCTGTGTGACTTAGGCGATACTTCCGGGTTTCTTCCCACCACAGCTTCATTTTCACTGTAAAATGGAGGGCGCGTGAAATCAGTCTATAGTATTTTTCCCCTGTGCTTGTGTTCAGCACAATAAAGAAACTCCTGCAATTTTAAATTCATTTGAGGGTGAGTAAATAGAGAGTTCATGTATTTTTTGGGTGAACTAATCCTTTAAACCACTGAAAATAAAACTGTTTTTTGTTAATCTTTAATTAAAATCTGACTGTTTTTTCAAGTACTTAAACATTGTGTAATCCGGGAATGCATTTTCATTAGGCTACATCCAGTGTTATCTTTTATTTATTTATTTTTTTAATTATGTTTTAGTAATTTACAAATCGAGCAAAAACAGGCAACAAACAAAAATTCCAAAGATAATTGAAATTAAAAAAAGGAAGACATTCACAAGACGCCAAAAACAGATTCATAATAGCTTACAACAGACAGAGCTTTTACAATTTTTACACCTTTGAGACTTCATTAACAGAATAACTTCGTTGATAAATACCTTATAATAAAGGAGGAGATTTTGAAAGTCTACATTTGTGGATGAAGAATTAACCATTCAAAATAATAAAATTAACAAAATTGTAAATTTGTTTTTCACCATTTTCAAAATAACAAATAATTTTTCTTGCATTTAATGTTATCAACATATTATTTTAACAGAATAATCATTTCCAAAATAATTGCACACTCCCAAAATCTACAAATAAGTGACAAGGATTCCTCACTGTTTTTACAAAATGAACATTCTTTTTCAATATCTGAAAATTTGATAAGTAACAAAAATCTGACTGCTTCCACTCTGGATTCTCTGATGACGTCAGATTGACGAATGGGGCGGAATATGCTGAACCACGCCCCTTCAACCGTTAGTTCGCTGCGAGGTCAGGTGTAAAGGAAGAGATGAGAAATAAAACCTGCCGTCTATTCAAAATTAAATTTCAGTTGAAAATACTTCATACTAGAATTAAAGTCTGCTCTTCCGGTTTACTCAGACTTGAATTAGAGTATTTTTTTCTTGATAAACAATAAGTTTAGATACTTTAATTACCAATTTGCTAAAAAAAGTAACTTACAGCCACCGCTGTGCCTTGGCGTGTTGTTTCCCTCTCATTGCTCGGCCCATAGAGAGCAGTGCAGAGCAGCATGGGTGTACTTGGGGCATGTTTCCCTCTCTCAGCTGCCGCTAGAGGGCAGTGAGTAGCGCCGCTCGATGGTGCTGCAGAAGTTTTCAAGATGTCGTCGCTGGAGCAGAGACTCTCCCGAATCGAGGAGAAACTCAAGCAGGAAAATAAAGAAGCTCGCAAACGGATCGACCTGAACATCGACATGAGCCCGCAGCGGACGCGCCCGAGGCCAAGTAAGTGTGTGTGCGAGAGTGCGCGCGCGCGTGACCGATCACCATGACGAAACACACACAATCTACATCACATAAACAAACAAACCGATCAAATCCTGACTCTTCACTCACGTTCACTCTCACCTTTGTCTGTTAAAGGGCTGGGGGTCGTTCAGCGGAGTATATTTGCTTCGGTTTGTCTGCTCCAGCGTGGTTCTGTTACACGAAATAAATAAATAATACCAATTTCTGACAGTCCGCTCACTAGCGTTAGCTCGGAGGCTAGCTGTGTTTAGCAGGCCCTGACACTCACATATATCAGTCTGTCTGTATGTCAGTCTGTTTATCTGTCAGTTCTCCCTCTCTGTTCTCATAAAATAACAGTCTTTGTGTGGAAATATATCGTCTTTTAGAGATACTGCTGGTGTTTAACGTTAGTGTTGTAAAATCATCAGTGTTGTAAAATCATTAGTCAAGGCAGACTATTGTTGTGAATTGCTTGTTTGGTTTTTGCCACAGAGACTAGTCTGTATTTAGAGAAAATACATGTTTTTGTGTGCTAGTTCATCATTTAATGTCATTCTGTTTTTGTCTCTTTCAAATCATGGCCACACTGTAGTGATCTATGATTAATGCTAGAAGTGGTTAAACGTTTTGCATCATTAAAAGTATTAAACGTTTATTGTGTGTGTATGAATTGGATTGTTTGATGTGTTTGTTGTCAGATCTTCAGTGTATCTGAATTGATGAGCTGATGTCTCAGTACAGTACGCTCCTGGACGCGCTCACTCTTCGTGTCAGTCTTTGGATGGGGTGATTCTTAGTTCACCCAAATTTACAAATTTGTCATCAGTTACTCACCCTTTACTTATTTCAAACCTTAATGAGTTTTTTCTTCTGCTGAACACAAAAGAAGATATGTTGATTAAAGCTGGAAACCTGTAACCATTGACTTCTATTTGTTTTTCCTTCTATGAATGTCAGTGATTACCGGTCACTAACATTCTTCAAAGTATCTTTTGTGCTCAGTGGATGAAGCTCACAAAGGTTTGGAACCACTTGAGGTTGAGTAAATGATGAGTCGTTTTTTGTAAGCTATCCCTTTAATGACAATACTTTCAGATTGTTAGATCATCTAATTTAAGTAGAAATAATTTTTAGAATCTGCAGTTGTGGACAGTGATTGAAGCTGTTAGACAAAACCTGTCACAGCTCGATATGTTATTTAAATTTGACTAGATAAATGTTTATAGAAAAAATAGTTTCAGTAAAATTGATTTGCCTAAAAATTGATTGCAGTAGTGAAAAGTCTAAGATATGAGAATCAGTTTAAACCATATTGTTTGTGTTCATTTGCAGGTGCAGTATTTTATCATTTTGTTTTGAATTCAGTTTTAATTCTGTCATCATTTACTCACTCAGTTGAGATTTAAAGGTGCAGTGGGTGATCGTCTTTAGAAACAATAGTAATGAATAAAGGAAATGATCTAAATGTGTTTATATGTATTTTTAAATTCTGGGTAAGGCATACAACTAAATAATGTTCATCCAATTAAATATTGTTGGACCAACAATTCCTATTATTCTGATAAGTAGTCCAAACTGTCTGTCAACAAATGTAGATTTGTACATCTGCGCAGCTGACAGTGCTAAAAACAAAGGCGGAATCAAAACTTTTTAAAATCCTAAATAAATATTGGAGTTAGTTTTGCATGCTGGAGGAAGGATGACAGAATGCCTGAAGGATTTCTTTTAGACAGTTGATGTTCTGTTTTAAAACAATTTTAGTCACGCAAAGCTGATGTAGATACTGTTTTTACGAATGGGTTATATGCACAGAAGTGTTGTTCAGCCACTGAAATCTTTTGGCAAAAGATTGATGTGACTATTTCCAATTTCATGAAGTACCTTTTACAGCAGGGGTCTCAAACTCAATTTACCTGGGGGCCGCAGGAGGCAAAGTCTGGGTGAGGCTGGGCCGCATAAGGGATTTTACAAAAAAAATGATTTTACAAAAAAAATTGGTGCAGATCTGCAGAGTGGATGCACGCGTACTGATCAGCTGTGTTGTCGCGCGCGTACTCGAGCGGTGTTGTCGCGCGCCTACTGAAGGGCGGGACCGAAGGTGTGCCGCGTCGCGGGGGCACTTTTGATCATTTTGGAAGTTGCAAGTTCACAGGTTGAGCCCTATATGTGCACGTGCCTGCCCTCACCTAAAAAAAAAGGCGTATAAATAAAACACCCCCACCCCACTCCTGTCACATCAGTCTGTACCAGTCTGTATCTACCTATAATATATATAAGATGCAGGCTGTAGCTAGGTAGGTGGCAGGCTGCAGATAGGTAGCTAAGTGGCAGGCAGGGGCGGGAACAGCTTACCTTGGTTCTGGCCGGCGCGAGTTCCCTCCTAACACTTCCCGCCCATCACAGCGTCTAACAAAGGAGCGGGGTGCGTGGTGACGTCACCGGCATCCCCGCCCCTTTGTTTACACGGCGGGCGGGGAATGCCAGTGACCGCTGTGTACGGATAGAATCAGCGGAGAGTGGAGCGCTCTCTCTCCCCGCTTCGCTGATTCTGTCAGTGTACAGCGGTCGGCGCGGGCCACAAAATATTGCACTGAGGGCCGCAAATGGCTCGCGGGCCGCGAGTTTGAGACCCCTGTTTTACAGCATCGTTAATGTCGATTTTAATTTAGTGTAACAACAAAACATCAGTAAATAGCGCTGTTTCACCTAGCCTGCTTTACTGAGGTGAAGTTGCTTTTATATTCATATCACATTGGTTAATTTTTGAACAATAACAACCTGTGATGCGCTCCCTATATTGCTTACCAAGCTACTCTGGATATTCAGTCTGAAATAGCATGCAAGTACGGCTTAGTAATAAGTGTAATTTCTGCACCCCGCTGGCCAACCACTAAGCATACAGTAGTCGCTCTAGGACAAAGCACATGAGAGATTCTTGCATGCATAAAATATTGCACAATGCACTCTCAGAAATAAAGGTGCAGGAGCTATCACTGGGGCAGTACCCTTTCAAAATGTACATATTTGTACATAAAGAGTCCACAATGATACCTCAAAGGTGCATATTAGTGCCCAAGTGTACCTAAAAACTACCTTTGAGGTACCATTATGGTGCCTTTAGGTACAAATATTTATCTTTTAAAAAGGTACTGCCCCAGTGACAGCTCCTGCACCTTTATTTCTGAGAGTGTATGATGAAATATTGCACATTATGAAGCATTTTGCTTGCTACACAACTGAAAACTTGCTAAATATATTCGTTTTTCATTCAGAATTGTAGTATTATAAAGTGCTATGAAACTTTCTAACTGGCAAATAACATGATCTAGTGGGTTGTCTATTGTCATCTTTAATCAGCACTTTTGTGATTACTGCACCTACTGCACCTTTAAAATGTCACTATTTTTTGTTGTATGTAATATATATATTAGACCTAAATTAAATTCAATATTTCATTAAATATTATTATTTAACATTATTATTAACTGTTTTTATTAAATAATATTTAGTTTTATATATATATATATATATATATATATATATATATATATATATATATATGTATGTATATATATATATATATATATATATGTATGTATGTATGTATGTATGTATATATATATATATATATATATATATATATATATATATATATATATGTATGTATGTATGTATGTATGTATATATATATGTATATATGTATGTATGTATGTATGTATGTATGTATGTATGTATGTATGTATGTATATATATATATATATATATATATATATATATATATTTATTTATATATATATATATATATATATATTTATTTATATATATATATATTGACTATTTAGATAGAATTCAGAATTCAAAATTGATTGGGATGATTTGTTGAGAGGCCATCTGCAAAAAATAAACAAAATTAAAAAAGGCTATATACAAAATTAAACAAAGCACTTTAATAGCACTTTATGGTTTTAGTATATTAACATTTATCAAAATTATCAAATGTAAAGTAACATGGTACAGTCTTTATTATATACACAATTAAACACAATTAATCATTGTTAATGTGGCAAATTTGATAATTTCTTGTGCCCAAGTGGTTTAAATCCACTTGAAATTGCTTGACATCCTGAGATGTGACTGTTGCAGATTCCCACATTGTAAGATCAATGCTGAAACGATATATTCTGCAGTCTTAGTTTAAAGCCATATATTACAATGGTCATAATTTAATATTTGAAAATAACCATTAAAGAAAAAGTACTTTATTTTTGTCCAAATTATAAAATTGTACCAAATAATAGTTTTTAGCAATTTTCTCTGTGATCATAGTTTCATCTACTTCAAATGTTGTAAAGCACTTTCTCAAGCCTAATGATTATTATACTTCAATTTTAGCCGAGCAATTGGATTTCTCCTCTGATTAGCTGGTTGTGTATGTGCTGTCAGTATTATATAGAGCAGATGGAGTGTGATGATGGTGTTCATTCATAATGTTTGAACTGAAGCGAGGGACGCAGTGACTCCAACAGGTGTGTGTGGGCTTTTAGTAATGAGTGTGTGTGTGTGTGTATTTTCTCTCCTCTTTATCTAGTCATCGTGATCCAGCTCAGTCCAGCTCCAGCCCCTTCCCAGCGCGCAGGTACCATCATCATCACCACCATCATCATCGTCACTGCATCACTCTCTTTCTCCTGCTCTCTCTTTACCTTTTCACTCATTACAACATCTCTTTATGCACCTCTTTTTTCACTTTTCTTTATCTAGTATTCTCATACCCATTTAGTTTATGTCTAGAAGTCAATATGAAGGGATAATCGCCACTGGTGTTGCACAATATATCGAAAAAATTGTTGCTATTGCGATAATAGTGTGTAATATATCCATATAGTAGAAATGCAAATTAAATTGCGTTTGTTGAATATTTAAGCAGTATTGTGCAGCTCTAATTGGGAATATGCTGAAGAATGCTAATAGGACTTTTAATTTGTCAGTAACCTGTGTTAATCGTTTCCGGCGAATTGTATGCCAATGCAAAATCGGCGCGTTTAAAGTCTGCCTTCTTTAAAAATCAGCGAGCTCAACTGGCTAAGTGATATCCGATTTAGAGTGGGTCTCAGATTGTACAAGAAGCTCTGCTTTAAATGACATTTACCCACGCCATGTCTATATGAGCATTTATTTTACCCCAGTATATTCAATGGACCTTCTGCGCTAGCCTGCCGATTCTGACAGGCGCGTGCGAGCAAACAGCTTTTTGTCTCATTTTACGCTTGAGCAACTAAATGAATGCCAAAGTCTGTTTAACTGATTGTATTTTAATGACATTACAACATCGATGCAGCAAAAGAAACCGTATTAAATGGAAAAAAACTCACAAGAACAGGTCACCGGCAGTCTATCAGTATGGGAAACACACTAGCTCGGCATATACCACATTCCCACCTATTTACTTCAGCAGCATGACAGGATTGTAAAAAAGTTATCTCTATATGACAAATGTTCAAAGAGTCAGCTGAAAGGGAAAGCTATTGACCATCAAAAGGTTTTTATTGCATATTTATATTCAAACATACAAAACAATGCTGATCTAGGGTAAACATGTATGTTGACAACTTGTGCACACCTTAAAGATATGTGAAGAAGTCAAAACAGTGTCATGAATTCCTCTATGATCCTCTCTCACACACAATTCTGCTCTTTAATTAATTGTTGATTAGTTTAAAGTGACATTTAAAGTGACACTTAACTAGCTTAATTAGGTTAACTAGGCAGGTTAGGGTAATTAGGCAAGTTATTGTATAACGATGGTTTGTTCTGTAGATTATCGAAAAAATATAGCTTAAAGGGGCTAACAATACTGAGCTTAAAATGGGTTTTGAAAAATTAAAAACTGCTTTTATTCTAGCCGAAATAAAACAACAAATACTTTCTCTAGAAGAAAAAAATATTATCAGACATACTGTGAAAATGTCCTTGCCCTGTTAAACATCATTTGGGAAATATTTAAAAAGGAAAAAAAAAATCAATGGGGGCTAATAATTCAGACTTCAACTTTATATATATTAGGGATGCTAAAATCGATCGGCCGAACATCGGTATCGGCCGATACTCACATTTAATGGCTTGATTGGTACTCGCCAATCTGGCCGATCTTATGAACCACTCATAGAGTTTCGAATAGTTAACAATATAACTTATTGTAATATACTTATTGCAATAAACAGTAGTTTATAGGGCTATTTCCTTTTAGCAAAAAAGTAATGAAATTATAGGTGTGCATTTTAATTTCTAAAAAAAATTTTCACCAATTATTTATCTGTGTTAAATAATTTTATGTAAAGGTGCTTGTTCACACTATAAGAGATGTGTTTACGGTATTATATGCAGAATCCTTCATTTATTCTCTTAAGTAAGGTGAGATCTCCACTTAAGTATCATACTTAGAAGGAAAACGTGCTAAATGCATTATATAGCTTGAAGCATTAGAATCGGTACTCTGTATTGGCCGATCACCAAGACAAAGAGTTTGTACTCTGAATCGGCTATATATATATATGTATCTATATGTATCTATATGTATGTATTTGATGACAGCTCGGTTGTCTTTCTTTAATCTTCAAGTGTTTTATAAAGCATAGAAACTAAAATTGAGATTGACTTTAATTCCAAGTAAATAAATAAATATATATTTTTTTTCTATTGGCTTTAATCTAAAAGATTTCTTTCAATTCTAAAATCTCACTTTGTCTGTACACATCATCTTCTTCTTCATTTCACCTTCATCTCCTCCATTTCTTCAATAAATTCTCTTTTTTCCATCTGAACATGAAAAGGGAGCAGCGAGTGTGTGTGTGTGTGTGTGTGGTTTTGTGATTGTGAGACCTGTGTGCAGGATTAACTTTGGTTGGAAGATCAGACACTGTGCATGTTGTGTGCTATAACTGCACGGCCCGACCGCGAGCAAACACATCCACACAGAAATGCAGGTTTTGCGACGGCGCACCACAGGGTGTTCAGTGTTCAATAACCAGTGGGTTTCAGCTTGTCTGACCTCTCCTGTCTCTCAGCTCTCTGTCCGCGCTTTTCAGAAGAATGGTCTTTGTTCTGCGCCTTGTTCTGTTTTTCTGCACAGATGTGGATTTACTGCTGTTTGTGTGCAGGTGTTTCTGCACAGACTTGCTTGAACTCACTGACTAACCCAAGCTTAACCCATTTTCTCCTATGAACAGGTTTTGCTGAGGAGGAATCAGAAGTTCAGTGGCTATCCCTTTCTATTTTGTCTCTATTTTTAGTTTGTTGACATGATGTTGCATTTTCACTGTCACACATGAGAATATTTAATAGAATAGAATTGAATAGAACACAGTATTCAGTTCAATTCAGTTCACCTTTATTTGTATAGCACTTTTACAATGTAGATTGTCAAAGCAGCTTCACGTAGTAGATCATAGTAAATTGAAACAGTGTAGTTCAGATTTAATGGTGCCAACTGATGACCCCTTATATTTTGTCAAACATTAGACCTAAAACTGCATAAATATATCTATTTATTTAAATTAATATATGTATATACTCCATGAGCTCGAAAACAGCACTTGCTTTTTCAAGGTTTTGCCAAATACTCTGGTAATTAGGTAGCTGACAAAAAGGTTGACATTTTTTTATATATATATATATATCTCTCATATATATATATATATATGTCTCTCATAAGATTCTGGCCCGGTGCATGCTGGGAATGCTAACACTAACTACTCCAGTGGCTGGTTTTCACTTATTTGGCAGCCCTTGTCTTTTCTATGTGTGAGTGTGTCTGATCTCGGCATGATGTGGACACTTATTGCTGTTTTTTATTTGACAGATCTCGGATGGTAAAAGGGCCTCCTTTTATGAGGCTTGGACTGGATTTCAATCACATACACACACACACACACACACACACACACACACACACACACACACACACACACACACACACACACACAAATATGTCTCTCTGTTTATATTACTGTATATACTAGACACTTTTATATTTGCAATTATGGAAAGAAATAAGTCAATAATTTTAATATTATGCAGCATTATATAATATTATTATTATTATTTATATAATATTGCATTATTGTTTAAAATAATTTGATATGAATATTATTAATATTATGAGAAAAACTATTTTGTGTAATAAAAAAATGAAAATATATATATTCATTACATCTATTGTAATGTTTAATCTTATTATGAAAACAATAATCAACCTTTAGTCATGTGTGTTAATATTAATGACATTATTTGTAATTGTTATTATATTTTCAATGGTGAAAAAATCCTAAAATCATTATTTCATGTTTTTTAGAATGATCTGGTTTCATTTTTACACTGTTTTCACATAGTTCACCATAGCTTTCTTCTGTAGTGTAAGGAGTAAAAATGGAACTCAATAGTAAATTTGGATTATTTATAGTCCTTCATAAACCATTATCCCAGTATTGGCCATTAATGGACGGTCAAAGTCTTCCATCCTTTCTCCTACTCCTTCAAACCCTCTGTTTTGTCATTTGTCTACAGCTCTACAGTTGCCTTTGGCCAACGATGGAGGCAGTCGCTCGTCCTCGTCAGAAAGCTCCCCTCAACACCCCTCGTACCCCAATAGACCCCGACAAATGCTCACACTTCCCACAACACCGTACAACCTACAAAAGAACCTGGAGAAGTACGACACGCACAACATGTTACATTAATTGTGTAGGTATTTGTATATTAATGCATTTGTGTTTTATCTTCAGTGCTGAAATCGATCAGAAGTTGCAGGAAATCATGAAACAAACCGGATATTTGAAGATTGATGGACAGGTGAGTGTTTATTCAATTTTTAATATGCCCCATGATGCTTTGTGTGAATAAGAAGAGTAACTCTCTGTAATGTCAACAGTAAGTCAAGTGTTTTTAAAAAACAGGGTAGAAGTATTCATACAGTTTGTACTCAATAGCCTCTTTTACACATACAGAATTTTCCAGAAAATTACCAACAATTTTTTGGAAAGGGATCATGTGTGAACAGGCAAATTTTTTCGGAAAGAGAAGTTGTAACATTAACAGTAATTTGCTGTAGTGCTGCTCTGTGTGAACGCAGAAGGAAAATTTACGGAAAGAGCACATTCAACTTTAGAAGGTGCTGACATGATATGTCTACTTCAGCCAATCAAACGAATTTACATTCACACTGTTTATGAAAATAAAAGCCTTTGAATCTTTCTACAGACACATGCACACACGTCACAGTAGCTGTATGCAGGTAAACTCACAGCAGGTTATCAGAAGCTTTTTAATTGACCATTTTTTCTACAGTTGACACTATGAAGGCACATCAAAATGTTATCTGACAAACAGCAGCAGCTAAATGTGTCTGGAGTGAGATTTAAAGCTGTTTATTTTCATAAACGACGTGGATGTGAATGGATCTGAATGTTCTGATTGGTCAAGTAGACGTCTTACGTCAGCACATTCTAAACCTGAACACGCTCTTTCTGGCAGTTTTCCTTCTGCGTTAAAGTATGTATGCGCGAAAACGACTAATGTCAAAAAGGTGATTACTTACTGTAATAAATGACTTTCAGTAGGATGTGAATAATCCCAAAAACAACAGATAAGTGTGTAAAACTGTAGCAATACAAAAAGAAAATAATCTAAAAACACAATGATTGCTCATTAGTGTTTTGCTACTTTTTTAAAGTAATGCTGGTGATACTACTGTCATGTTGAAATATCAAATGTTAAGCTATTTTGATGACATAAATATCATTTTTCAGCATGTATCACAGAGTTATTTGAAACACAGTCTTGTTATTTAAAATTGTGTCAATTATTTTGAATGGGAGATACCCAAACTGGAAGTACAAAATAAAATAAACCCAAAATAAAATAAAATGACTATTTCCTCACTATTTGCTCACATTTCAGTGATTCTAAACTTGTATGAGTTTCTTTCTTCTGTTGAACTCAAAACTCATTCTAAAGAATGTTGAGAAAATGCAACCATTGACATTCTTAATATGCACAGAAATTACTATGGAAGTAAACGGCTATTGTTTTCCAACATTCTCCAGAAAATCGTCTTTATTGTTTGAATAATAAAACAGAAACAGGTTTGGAACTAAGTGGAGGATGAGGAAATTATGACACTTTTCATGTTTGGGGAATAAGTGCCTGAACTGTCTGTATGTTGTTGGTTTTTTAGCGTTACCCCGCAGAGGTGACTGATCTAATCAGTGAGGGGGAGATCGGCAGTGGAACCTGTGGACAGGTGTTTAAAGTTCGTTTTAAGAAGACTGGCCATGTCATCGCAGTCAAGGTCAGTTCAGCTCTTTGCTAGCTCAATATATCCTCTTCTTAAGTAGAGATAGGTAAAAATTTCTTCCATTGGCCCAACCAGGCCATTAGAAAATGTAAAAATCTGTTCTATTTGCCCAATCAGGCCATTAGAAAAGGTAAAAAATCTGTTCTATTGGGCCAATAAGGCCATTAGAAAAGGTAAAAATCTGTTCCATTGGCCCAACCAGGCCATTAGAAAAGGTAACATCTGCTCCATTAGTTCAACCAGGCCATTAGAAAAAAATCTTTAGTGCTTGGTGTAATGCTTTAACATTTGATAATTTGACGTTTGAATTTCGAAATGTTCATGTATGACAGTTCACATCACTGATGACTATAATTTTTTTGAAAATAACAAATTTGTTAAGTGCACTTTATGTTGTCTTAAATATGCAAGCATTTCAGAGCATTTAAAGGCCCGTGAAGTGCTTTGAAATATGCATTTTTATTCGATGTTTGACGTTATCTCAACTGAAACATAAAAACCGGGCAGGACATAGCAGCTTCTTCCCATTAAGAATAACAGCCAATAGCATTTTGTTTTTATCCCAGCTCTGCCAGTGAGAGTGGTTGAGCTCAAGCACATCAAATGAAAAGCAAATGAGAATTGCCTTGAAGGGTGCGGGGCATGTCAGATACTAGAGAGCATTTGATTGGTCAGAAGATTTTTATGAGAAATTGGAAGTTTGAGGTGATGAATTCTTTTTTTTTATTTCCATTTAGGTGGAAGTGACGAACTGCAAGCTTAAATGTTCATATCTTCTAAGTGTGAATTTTGTCACCGTAATGGAGCACATTAGCTTATCGATATCCTTAAGATACTAACATCTAAAAACGTTATTTTAATTTCACAGGACCTTTAAGTATAGATTACAGTTGGCTTTTAATGTTTTATAATGGATCAGCTGTAAAAAAAAATCATTGTCATCATTATTGTCATCACTGTGGTGTGGACATAAGAAAAATATTGGCTAGTGTGACGTATAAAAAGATTTATAGCCAAAGGAAGTTAATATATTAGCCTGATTAATATTTTTATTTTCTTTTTTGGATGATTGAGTTTTGCTTCGTCTTCATGAATTGTCCTTGTAATTATGGAGGCATTAAAACAGCAGTTGAGGCAGGAGTAATTACTGTTTGCTAATTACATTGCTCTGGTTTATGTTGTTCAAGTGCTGTTTCATTTTCTCTGTGTGCTTCCCTTGCAGCAAATGAGAAGAACGGGTAACAAAGATGAGAATAAGAGAATCCTCATGGATCTGGATGTTGTATTGAAGAGTCACGACTGTCCATACATCATTCAGTGCTATGGGGCAATAGTCACCAATGTAAGAATCTTACTCTTGACTTTTAATTAAATTCCATGGTCAAGTGATAAATGTAATGAATTGCTTCCTCTGTAGACGGATGTGTTCATTGCCATGGAACTAATGGGAACGTGTGCAGAGAAGCTGAAGAAGAGGATCCAAGGGCCCATACCAGAGGCCATTCTGGGAAAGATGACCGTGGCTGTAGGTCTTTTCATCAACTCCCTGAATTCCCTGATTCGTTATTGGTTAGACATGATTGCAAGCATCTCTCTTTTTCTTCTCTTGCAGATTGTGAATGCTCTGCTTTATCTAAAAGAGAAACATGGTGTCATACACCGAGACGTAAAGCCATCTAATATCTTGTTGGACGCCAAAGGGCAGATCAAACTGTGTGATTTTGGCATTAGCGGTCGATTGGTAGATTCTAAGGCCAAGACTCGCAGCGCCGGCTGTGCTGCGTACATGGCGGTGAGTAAACAGCAAAGTTGGGTTGTTGCATCGCTATAAGTAGGGACACTACTAGTTTAACTACATTTCTGAGTAGCATGGCAGTAGTGTTGCTACTTTCCAAATCGAACAGCTTTTCAGCAGCGAAGCTATTTTATTTGTCAAGTATCGCAGTAGCGTCCACATAAGCTACATTTAGCGATCGCAAATCAATAAGTGACGGCAGCGACATTCAGCTGTGAGGCCGGTGTCTAGCTGATGGAAGTAAATTCATATGTAGGCGAGAATGACGATTTCTTCTTTTTCCTGTGGTCAACAACAAACTTTTTGGTGCGTTACTGCCACCTCTTGATTTATGTGGCTTCGATTATATAGCTTAGATGTAGCTAAGCTACTTTTGTCAAATAGCTTTTAGCTTAGCTTGCTGCATTTCCCAGAGGGTAGCTTTTAGTGTAGGTAAGGTACATTTTAAGTAGAGTAGCTAATAGCTAAGCTCACTACATTTGAAAAAAAAACGTTGATCAATTTAGGCGAAAGTGTCATACTGCAACCTTTTGGTGTTTATATCAGTTTTATATTGTCTAAACCTAAATTGTGTCACTGTTTTGGAGCAGACTAGCTAATAGATATCCTTAACCGTGCATTCATATGGGGCCTCAGTGTCAACGCTTGACCGAGGGCATGTCTGAAGTTGGGGCTGACTCGATCGTTACAGCAGCATCAGCCAATAAATCTTCTCTGTAATCAGCTACAGTCTAAGCTGAGTTGTTTACATGCATCAATCTAATTGGCTCACGCTTCCGTTGACGCTTAAAGTTGAGAATTTCCCAACTTCTGCAGCAATCAACAGATCCACAATGCAGTTCGGCAACGCCTGACGTCACCCATTTAAAGTGAATGGGAAGCATTGACGCTGACGCCATGTGTGAATGGGGCGTAAAACTATCAGACGGAAACGAACATCTAAAATGTTTTATTTTAAATTCACGGGACCCTTTAAGCATGGTCGTTATGAAAGAATGACTGCATTGTTTAATATGCATCTTTTTATTTTTAGCCTGAGAGAATAGACCCTCCAGACCCCAGTAAGCCAGATTATGACATCAGAGCCGACGTCTGGAGTCTTGGCATTTCTCTGGTGAGTTCCTCTACCTATACACTGTTGGGTAGACACTTGTTTACTGGGATTTCTTTGCCGAAAGTTGGGTTTTGCTATTGATTATGTATACTTTTAGTTTGCTTATGTAGCATTAACATTCAAGGAGAAATTGGCAAATGCTTGGCATGCCTAATATGGTGTTTTTATTCATTTTCATGAAGCCGTGTGAACAAGGATAAGCTTTTCTGTTTGTAATTCAGCTGTAATTGATTGTCATTGTCATTTACAAATGTTAAAGTTCAAACGTTTATTTTAAAAAGAGGGTAAATAAAGATACAATGTTATATAATATAATCATTTTATTCAATATAATAATTTATTATTCAGAATGAATACAGAATTAATCCTGAACAAAAGTGATAGGTGGTTTCCAAATATTCACTTTATTGTTAGATTGATTTCTGATTGTGTGGAAAGCCTGGAGGAATAGTTCAGCTCTACATGCATTGTAATAAATTACATGAAAATGGAACAATTATGCATTGACCTGAATCACAGTTAATAATTACCTATATTCCTCCCTGCCTGTAGGTGGAGCTAGCCACAGGACAGTTTCCTTACAAGAACTGCAAGACAGACTTTGAGGTTCTTACCAAAGTTCTGCAAGAGGACCCGCCAGTGCTTCCTCTCAGCATGGGCTTTTCCCCTGACTTTCAGTCCTTCGTCAAAGACTGGTACACTCAAAAAAGTCACCTAAACATTACATTGTTTTAGCATTTTATTAAGTCTTCTCTGTTTCTGCAGCCTCACAAAGGATCACAGAAAAAGGCCAAAATACCACAAGCTGCTTGTAAGTCTCGATCTCCAATAAAACTTGAGCTAGTGTCCCATTTATGCTTTTCTGATATTACATTTCATGTAGTGTGCACATATAGCATTAAGTGATATAAAAAGTCTGCTAAGCTTGAGACCACAATGAATGCAGTTGGCAAAAAAATGAAATAAGTTCTCAGTCATTTTAGTCTTACTTATTGCAAAAGCCTATATGGGTTTGTAACAGATTTAGACAACACTAGTCTATTGGCTGCCTTCAGGCTTTCTTTGTTACTTGTAGCTAGAAATTCAGGAATATTAATGAACGTTTGATTTCTGACACGTGTTGTAAGCAGTTGGCCAATCACAGTAGTGGTTTAGTTGTTCTTTTTACACCAGACATTTATTCTAAATCAACAACAAGTGCCCTGCAAAGTAGACTCCACAGGTCATGATTTCAATCTGAAGGTAGAGTATATGTTTCATTCAGTTGGCATTTTAGTGTTTGATATATTTACGTAGGTGTATTATGTCACACTTCCTGCTTTTCTAGTAAAGGTTTCTCATGCTCAGGTAAAGAGCATTGAAGGAGAAGGGGGTAGGCATGGGATGTTTACCGGTTTTATGGTTTACTACAGTTTGGAAAAGGCATGGTTTAAAAACTGCAGTATATAAGTTTTTTTTTTTTTTTATACGTGTTGTCAGACTTTTTTCAAGGCAACGGTATCCTGCAGCAAAGGACCATCCACATTCACTTAAAATAAAATATATAGTGTTCAGTGGGAAAAAGTTTTTTTTTTTTTACCCAGACATTTAATAAGAACCAGAGTCAGGATTTCATCTCTGTTATTTGCAGACGATGTTGTTCTGTTGGCTTTATTAAACATGGAATGACCTTCAGCATGCACTGGGGTGGTTTGCTTCTGGATGAGAATCAGCACCTCAAACTCTGAGGTCATAGTTCTCCACCGGAAAAAGGGGGTTTGCCATCTCCAGGTTGGAGGAGAGACCTTACCCCAGGTGGTGGAGTTCAAGTATCTTGGGGTTTTGTTCATGAGTGAGGGAAGGATGGAACATGAGATTGAAAGGTAGATCGGTGCTGCAGCAGCAGTAATGCGGTTGATCTAACACTCCATTGTGGTAAAGAAGAAGCTGAGCTGAAAGGCAAAGCTCTCGATTTACTGGTCAATCTACGTTCCTACTCTCACCAATGTTCATGAGCTTTGGGTCATGACCAAAAGGGCAAGATTTCGGATAGAAGCGGCTGAAATGAGTTTCCTTAGCAGGGTGGCAGGGCACACTCTTATAGATATTGTGAGAAGCTCTGTCACCCGGGAGGAGCTCGGAGTAGAGTCGCTGCTCCTCCACACCAAGAGAAGTCAGCTAAGGTGGCTTGGGCATTCGGATGCCTCCTGGATGCCTTCCTAGGGAGGCGTTCCAGGCATGTCCTACTAGGAGGAGGCCTCGGGGAAGACCTAGGACATGAATGAATGAATCAATTCAATAAGAACATATTTAGAGCGGTAATCACAATACTGTGAAACCGGGATATTTTTATCCAAGGTCATCATAGATTCAGAATCTTATAGAATGCCTAGAAGGGAGTAGGGAACAATGCACACTGTGTAGGGAATGTGTTGGTCAGAACCATGCATTAATCTCATGCATTAATCTCTTCTTGTCTAAATCAGATGTGTTAAATAAGAGACACATGCAAAATATACAGATTAAGGAACGGGATTGTGAAATACTTGCTTAGGTTACCTGACTAGCTAGGTTACCATCAGAGCAGAGTGATCTCTCAGAAAGGAAGTGTATAGGCCTAAAAAGTTTTAAAATGGCGTAATGGGGCACTTTAAATATATGCCATCTTAAGATTGTTCTGATGCTTGGTTCACACCAGTGGTCTTGTTTTACTCTCTATAGGAACACAGTTTCATCCGTCGTTACGAGGTGTCAGAAGTGGACGTTGCGGGCTGGTTTCAGGCGGTGATGGAGCGCACAGAGTCTCCTCGCAGCAGTCAGTGCTTCAGCCATCACCAGCTCCACTCTCTCTTCAGTAGGTAGCCAGACGGAGAAGCAGAGAGATGAACGACAGGTTGATTTAGAGACACAGATGGACAGGTCTGAAATGTAAATTATTGTTAATGAGAGGATGGAGTGGAAATGGACTGATTTTGAGGTGGCTGAAACAGAGAGAATGTTCATTTGGGAGTTTGACCGATCGACAGACAATCCTGGGCAGGTTTGATGTTAATCTGAAATCATTTTTTTTTTTGTCCTTCTCATCCCACCCATCGATCAGGATGGACCATTACAGGTTGCAGTCTAGAACGCATTCACTGTGACACACACGCACGCGCACATTTACAGCAACACTGTTTCACTAAAACCTCCACCAGTCCGTTTAATTCACTTGGAAATCCCGATCCACACATCTTGAAGTCCTCCGTAGCCCCTTACTCAGGGACTGAACAGAGTAGTCGAACAACACTGTGCAATGTTGTGTTTGTGCGTGAGTGAGTGTGTGTTATCCGTTCATCACTTCTAGCTCTTCACTTTCCTGTACAGTTTAAGTGTTCACAGCCATTAAGTACATTCAGGCAGTTCAAATCTAGCAGGATAATAGCTGAGATCCTATATTTTATAGAAGTGTTCTTTTCTATGAGAGCAAGCGTTAGCAGATATTTTATTTATTGTAACATGTACTAAGAGAGTTAGTGATTCTTATTGGTAGATCTTTTAATCCCTAATGTTTAGATTGCTAGAATTAGTTTGGTCTGGAATTTCATGTATCAAAAAATAGATGTATTGGCTAAAAGAGAAGGTTGTAAATTAAGATAAAACTAGTGGTGGACCGATACAAATGTTTTTTAAAATTATTTTATTTTTTTGTCCTGATTTAATATCTAGAGACACCTACACTACCTGACAAAAGTCTTGTCGCTGATTTCAGGTTTAAGAGCAACAAATAATAACTTGACTTCTAGTTGATCATTTGGAAAAGTGGCAGAAGGTAGATTTAGATAAAGAGCTATTGGAACCTGCATGGACCCAAGATTCTCTTAGAAATCAGTCAAGTTTGGTAAAGGAAAATTCCTGGTTTGGAGTTACATTTAGTTTGGGGGTGTGCGAGAGATCTGCAAAGTGGATGGCAACATCAACAGCCTGAATTATCAAGACATTTGTGCTACCAATTCTTCAGCACGAGAGCGCTCCTTCTCATACATCAGTCTCCACATCAAAGCAAACGGTGGGAGGAAACCAGAGGAAACCCATGTGAGCACGGGGAGAACGTGCAAACTCTTCACAGAAACGTCCACTGGCTTGGTAAGGACTAGAACCAGTGATGTTCTTGCTGTGAGGCAACAGTGCTAACCACTGGGCCATCTGCCACCCATTTAGGAAAAGAGGTTGAGTAGGGGTGGAAGGGGGATTCTTCAAAACGAAGATGGCTGTTATTTGTAACTTAGGGTATTTATATTGACTTATGATTCACCAATCAAACGATTCCTAAATTGGATAATGCGCGACCAGCAATCATAAGCATGTGATCCTCTCGAAATTAGTTTATATATGAACTTTACATAGCAACTGTGTTTAAAAAGGACAGAATTCTTAAGAATATCGTTTTTTTCTAAGGTCAGATCTTTTGATGTGCTTGATTCGTCTAGATGTTTTTGGTCAGTCAGACCGCACCAAAATTAGTTTGGAAACAAACCAAGGTGTACACCACGTTTGGATGGGTTCACACCAGATCTGGTCATTTTAATTGAACACACAAGTGTGAACACACCGATAGTGAATGTTTCATGCCAGTTTGTGGCAGGACTATTTGTCTGACCATTATTCAGGATGACAATTTTTGTTGCTTATGAGTAACGTCTTGAAATTACCCTCTTCGCTTTAATTGTCTATTGCTGATATCTAGAAACCTGTCTGTTCATTGGCCAAATGTTGGACTTTGTATCGGTCAACCACTAGAGAAAATACAAAAAAATTAGCCCAGAATGTTTAAAGATGTACACCGTGCACACCTCAGGAAGACAAGTATTAGAGAATTGTGATTTATTTTTTATTTATAGCTGTGCGTTTCAGTCTTAGAGCATCTGAGGAAGAAACAAAATCATGTCAAGATGAAAGATGTTGTCATAGTCGCTCAAAGTGGCGCTGAGAGGCAAGCGGGGGAGTTTTTGCAGTGAGAGCAGTTCGTTTTGAGCGCAATAAGTAAAAAAAAAAACGCCTCGTTTTGTGAGTGGAACATTTCTGCTCTGATTCACCCGACTTGTACACCAACCGTTCATCATTTCATTCTTTTCATCAGTCTATTTTCGCATCAGCATTTGAGTTCCTGCAAACCAAAGCTTGCTTTTTTTTTTCTCTTTTTTTTTTCGACACTTTTTTTTTTTTTTCTACCAAGCTGTTCTCAGAGGATTTCAGCACCTGCTCATGGGTCGTGCTGGAGATGTTCAGTGACTTTCACAACCAAAGCTGTAGAGTTCGAGATTCACTGCTTTAAAAAGCCAAATCACTGCTAGATTGTTTGAAGAAAAGCGTGAGGAGAAGGGTTGAATGAATCCGGAAAAAAGGTAAAGGAATGTTGAGACAGGGAAGTTGGCGATAGATGAGGGATGGAAGAAAAAATTAATGAAACTGTGCAGAGGAGATAATGGGAATGGAATGAAAATTGGAGAAAAGTAAATGGAAAGTATGAATGAAAGTCTCCAGTGAAGTCTTTTAGAAAGAATCGGTTTGTTTTTAATAAGTTTGGTGAGATGAGAGATGACTTGGCGGTTTATAGATGTGCTGTGAGCTAGCTGGACGTTGCATAAAAGCTTTTAATTATTTTGAACCAATGTACCAATTACTATTTTTATCTAGGAGTTAATTAGATTGTATTGTTTTGCATCGTACTGTTTTTGTTTGTTATCCTTGAAACGTTTGTTTTTTGTATTATCTGCTATTATTATTATTATATTTATTTATTATCTTACTGCTGCTACTGTTTACTTTAGATGCTGCTGTCAGTGATTCTGTTCCCCAAAGGATTATTATTCTTTTTTTTTTTCCTAAACCAAATGCATAAAACTCTGCAATGTCTACACATTTACCAAATACGATTACCTGTAAAGCGCATCCATTAAGAGGCAAAGTGAAAGCAAGCAAGGTCATAATCGAGAGCGTATGTATACCTAGATCTATATTTAGCCACTATGCCGACTCACAAACGTCACCACTTGTTCTAGGCAACTAATAAGAATGATTTCCAGTTATTTGTACAAAGTAACAGACACCAACTGGTAATATTTATATATATTTGAGCTAGTTTTGCTATTAACTGTGGGTGACGCAGGTAGATATGTTTGTAATTGTCCTCCTGTGTCCATCCTGCGGTGGATACATTCAGCAACTAATACATTTCCCTTATTAAACACAGGCTCATTGGAAATATTAGTTTTTTTTTTGCAATTATATATCAATGCATATATTATACTCAAGCGTCTTAGTGAAATTTACACACACATTATTTTAATTATTTACAGGGGCAGATTATCATTGAAAAGGTTTAATATTTGCCTAGATCCCTTAAAATACTAATTAATTTCCATATGTAATAGTTCAACAGTCAGATTTCAGAAGTAAAAACTCCATTCCTACATTTTCATGGCTGTTAATCAATTCTAAATGCGTTTCTGAACCCATCTGTTTGTAAGGCCAACTTATTTTTCGAAAAGTATTTGATGGCTAAATTTGTGCAGAAAAATACTACATTACCCATGATGCTGTACAGAAAACACTACCAAGTGAAGCATAAATTATCTTTAGCTCCGCCCACTCTGAAAATTAGTCTACTGAATAAATACTAAAATTTGTGGATAAACTCAGGATATGTTCTACTAGCAATATAACAATATCATTTTGCGACAGTTTTGTGTCAATAGGCACATTATTTATGGTACTGTCCTGTCTAGTGCTGGGTTCCTACCAAACTAATTTTCGCCTACTACTTAGTAGGTATTGCATTTGAATTTAAACGTGCTACTGGCCGTTAGAAAAGTATGAATGGAACTCAGACGTACTAAATCCACATTTTGTCATGGTTACGTGACCTATCCATGTCAGTTGCGTCACTTCACTCCCATTCATGAATTCTCTCTTGGTGCATCATGGGATAGGGTAATGTCATCCAATGCGCACTTCAGAATCTCACCAGAAGTAGTAGGTCATCTGAGTACTTCTCATTTACTGATTTTCGAATTCTATGAATTTGGACATACTACTCAGCTGGCATACTGATTGTAGCGTACTATATAATATGGAAGTATGTGATTTTTGGATGCAGCTTAAGTGTTTGTGCGAGTAGATTACATCCTCAAATTTCCAGCCCACGACCCCCAAAATAACAATGCCAGTGACTTGCAAACCCCACAGTTCTCGGAGGTGGTTATAAACGTATAAATGTTGCACAAACAATAATAAGCCTTTATAAACACGAGCACATTGGCGACACAGAAAAGTGCATCAGTCTAACAGCTATAATATTATATAGTCCTTTTTTCATTTGTTTAATTTAATATTAACCTCACCCAAAGAGACCGATGGTTTAATTTCGGCCTGTATTTATTTTTAATGTATTTGATTGCCATAAAGGTGTCTGAAAGTTTAACTTGCTGCTATAAAATCAGTCTGCTGCAGCTGACACTATTGCTGTGCTGTTAATCTAATGTAAACACACCAATCCTATGAAAATAAATTAAAAGCCTGAAGGCTTTTTATTTGCATATTGTTGCTTTTTTAATGTAACTATTAATTACTATTTTTATCTTCTGTGGTTATGGATAAAATATATGGCAATTCTAATACTTTAATAAAATGTATTTGACTTTTAGAAATCACCAAGCGACTCCCTATTATTGTCCCGTGACCCCCACTTTGAGAACACCTGGTATACGTGATATCTTTGTAAATCTACTGCTCAAATTCCAATAACTGAACTTAAGTGATAAATTCATGTGAGGGGAAAAACATCCCATGAGTGAACCAGGGCTAGTGACATGATGTTCAGC